TCTCAAGGCTTCATGGAAGTCCCATCACTCGCAGGTTTCGCTGATCTTTGTGAAGCCACGGCCCGCAGTATCCAGCCGCTAAGTCTGGCAGGATCGCCGTCATCACGACTGTGTTCTTGTTAAGCAGTTGATATCAGAATAATGCAGGAGCGCGAGTTAATGTCGTGATTATTCCTTAGGTCTTAGGTTCCTGAATAGGTCTCTACAAATATTGTGTCCGAAATTATTTAGGCTACCATAGTTGCGGCTGGGTTCTTGTTAACTACATTGGTTTGCAAGGTTATTTAGCTGAAGGGCCTTAATTAGCACGGGCTAAGACGAGGGCCCTCATTCGCCTTCGACAGCCTGCTTTGTAACCCCCTACAAATAACTACATCAATAGCTCGGATAACCCAACTTGTTCACCTTACTCACTAAGATTTAGGTCCACCTGGTGTAGGGTTTAGCATATAGTGCGCACAGAAAAGTAGTGTTTGCAGTGCACGGGTTTGCGGTGAAGCATAGAAGCCAGGTCGTGCGATCTAAACCTCAACCGACAATCGAATATCTTGGTCCCGCAATCAGACCTTCATGCACTGAAGAATCGGCCATGCTGGAGGTTCGAGACACTACCTATAGTCTCCATTGTAGTTCCTTTTGGGGGTTACCTTATAGGATCGTTAATATATAATTGGTTTAACCAAAAAAAGGAACTACAATGGAGACTATAGGTACGAATGCAATCCTGAGTAGAACCTTCCTCATATAGTCCCTACTCAGTCCCGCGATCCTCCCAACAGACCATTGAAAGTGTAACTGTTCAAACGCAAAAGCCTGCCCGCCGAGCCCCCAAACGCTATAAGCCCTACAGCAATAACGTAGGGGCCAGAAACGTTTGGTTTTCCTCAGGATTCCTTAGTGTTAGTAGTTGGCAATTACTTATAGGCCCCATAGTAGTTCCCAAAAGGGTTCATATTTAGGCTTCTATAAAGTAATCCTAAAAAGGAACTGCTGTGGGGCCTTTGGGTAGACTTTGTTTATACACAGAAGTTCCGATCGTCGTTTGTTGTGAACAGGCAGCTGTGGGTTAGGCAGACATCCTTGACCGTGGAACAGCTCACGCATCGCAGAGGAAAAGGTCCGGATGCACTCTCTGAGATGAGGCACTGGGCACGGTGAATCCTAAACCTCCAACCTGTGTAACATCCTGGAGACTAGCATGATCCTATGATCAGCCGGTTTTCCAGCCAGGTTTAATCATGTTTAATCCCCTATGATTGATTAAACCTCCATGGATTATTGAACCTTATTGTCCGGCAAGAGGAGTTCCCACTGGCCAAGACTGCGTTAGATTTAAATTTAGGGCTTATTAGGCATATCTTTATTGCAGTCGCCTGGAGGTATTGACTGAGATTTGGCACTGCAGCCCAGCACTTTGCCGCTGTGGACAACTTTGCTTCACGCGCTCCCATTTCGTGGTCGAGCAGATGCATACCAGTTCACAGCATGTGGATGTTTAAAATCTTTTGCGTGGGAGCGGACATGCGGGCACTCTGCTCAAGGGCTGGCTTCAAGCGTCGCCTAGTCCTTCGCTTGACATGCCCGGCCATCCTGCGGTGATGTGGGTTGACATGCTTCCGATGCCTCCCGTGTCCTTGCAAGAGTAGGCTCGCAGTGTTTGCTCAAGTGCAAGTACATAACCGCTCAGCCAGGCCTCCAGCAAAGAAGAATCCTTGCTGATGAGGAGTTACAAAAATCTTGTGCGGAAGAGCGGACATGTGGGCACTCTGCTCAAGGGCTGGCTTGAAACGTCGGCGAGTCCTTCCCTTGACATGCCCGGACATCGCGCGGTGATGTGGTTCACATGCTCCCTGCGTCCTTGCAAGTGTAGGCTCCTATAGCGCACATTTGTTCAAGTGCAAGTACCCAACCGCGCAGCCAGGCCTCCAGCAAAGAAGAATTGTTGCTGATGAGGAGTTACAAAAATCTTGTGCGGAAGAGCGGACATGCGGGCACTCTGCTCAAGGGCTGGCTTCAAGCGTCGCCTAGTCCTTCCCTTGACATGCCCGGCCATCGCGCGGTGATGTGGATTGACATGCTTCCGATGTTTCCCGTGTCCTTGCAAGCGTAGGCTCGCAGTGTTTGCTCAAGTGGAAGTACAGAACCGCGCAGCCAGGCCTCCAGCAATGAAGAATCCTTGCTGATGAGGAGTTACAAAAATCTCGTGCGGAAGAGCGGACATGTGGGCACTCTGCTCAAGGGCTGGCTTCAAACGTCGGCGAGTCCTTCCCTTGACATGCCCGGACATCGCGCGGTGATGTGGTTCACATGCTCCCTGCGACCTTGCAAGTGTAGGCTCCTATAGCGCACATTTGTTCAAGTGCAAGTACCCAACCGCGCAGCCAGGCCTCCAGCAAAGAAGAATTGTTGCTGATGAGGAGTTACAAAAATCTTGTGCGGAAGAGCGGTCATGCGGGCACTCTGCTCAAGGGCTGGCTTCAAGCGTCGCCTAGTCCTTCCCTTGACATGCCCGGCCATCGCGCGGTGATGTGGATTGACATGCTTCCGATGTTTCCCGTGTCCTTGCAAGCGTAGGCTCGCAGTGTTTGCTCAAGTGGAAGTACAGAACCGCGCAGCCAGGCCTCCAGCAAAGAAGAATCCTTGCTGATGAGGAGTTACAAAAATCTTGTGCGGAAGAGCGGACATGTGGGCACTCTGCTCAAGGGCTGGCTTCAAACGTCGGCGAGTCCTTCCCTTGACATGCCCGGACATCGCGCGGTGATGTGGTTCACATGCTCCCTGCGTCCTTGCAAGTGTAGGCTCCTATAGCGCACATTTGTTCAAGTGCAAGTACACAACCGCGCAGCCAGGCCTCCAGCAAAGAAGAATCCTTGCTGATGAGGAGTTACAAAAATCTTGTGCGGAAGAGCGGACATGTGGGCACTCTGCTCAAGGGCTGGCTTGAAACGTCGGCGAGTCCTTCCCTTGACATGCCCGGACATCGCGCGGTGATGTGGTTCACATGCTCCCTGCGTCCTTGCAAGTGTAGGCTCGTAGCGAACATTTGTTCAAGTGCAAGTACACAACCGCGCAGCCAGGCCTCCAGCAAAGAAGAATCCTTGCTGATGAGGAGTTACAAAAATCTTGTGCGGAAGAGCGGACATGTGGGCACTCTGCTCAAGGGCTGGCTTCAAACGTCGGCGAGTCCTTCCCTTGACATGCCCGGACATCGCGCGGTGATGTGGTTCACATGCTTCCCTGCGTCCTTGCAAGTGTAGGCTCGTAGCGTTTGTCAAGTGGAAGTACAGAACCGCGCAGCCAGGCCTCCAGCAATGAAGAATCCTTGCTGATGAGGAGTTACAAAAATCTCGTGCGGAAGAGCGGACATGTGGGCACTCTGCTCAAGGGCTGGCTTCAAACGTCGGCGAGTCCTTCCCTTGACATGCCCGGACATCGCGCGGTGATGTGGTTCACATGCTCCCTGCGTCCTTGCAAGTGTAGGCTCCTATAGCGCACATTTGTTCAAGTGCAAGTACCCAACCGCGCAGCCAGGCCTCCAGCAAAGAAGAATCCTTGCTGATGAGGAGTTACAAAAATCTTGTGCGGAAGAGCGGACATGTGGGCACTCTGCTCAAGGGCTGGCTTGAAACGTCGGCGAGTCCTTCCCTTGACATGCCCGGACATCGCGCGGTGATGTGGTTCACATGCTCCCTGCGTCCTTGCAAGTGTAGGCTCCTATAGCGCACATTTGTTCAAGTGCAAGTACCCAACCGCGCAGCCAGGCCTCCAGCAAAGAAGAATCCTTGCTGATGAGGAGTTACAAAAATCTTGTGCGGAAGAGCGGACATGCGGGCACTCTGCTCAAGGGCTGGCTTCAAACGTCGGCGAGTCCTTCCCTTGACATGCCCGGACATCGCGCGGTGATGTGGTTCACATGCTCCCTGCGTCCTTGCAAGTGTAGGCTCCTAGCGAACATTTGTTCAAGTGCAAGTACCCAACCGCGCAGCCAGGCCTCCAGCAAAGAAGAATCCTGATGAGGAGTTACAACAATCTTGTGCGGAAGAGCGGACATGCGGGCACTCTGCTCAAGGGCTGGCTTCAAGCGTCGCCTAGTCCTTCCCTTGACATGCCTGCTCAATATGAAGATAATAATAATACTAATATACTAATAATAATATAATAGTAATAATAATAATACTAATATAATAATAATAATAATTCCTAATAAGGAAACCCTGTAATGTCTTGACCAGAAACCTGCACTGCCACACGTTTCCCGAGTTCAATCGTTGAAAAAACCTACACCCCAAAGCGCAACCTCGAGCCTAAAGTATCCCGGTACTACTACCACACTATGTTACGTTCGGGGCTCCCTGTTAAAATTATATGGTACAATGGGCCCCCAAGACCGCATTACATTCTAATTATGAAGGGCCCCTACACTACTTCAACGGGCTCGTGGTCCGCAGCGCTTCGATCTCATAGATATCGTGGTTTATTGAGTTCTCTTTCTGGAGTTCAGGGCTCAGCTTCTGGAATTGGGGTTCAGGGTTGAGGGCCCGATACTACACCCTAAACTCCAAAAACTCTATGGGAGTTTCCGAAGTTAGGGATACCTTATTTTGGGGTCCTTAAAATATGGATCCTACTATTTAGGGTACTATGTTAGGGTCTCCTATTTTCGGAAACTCCCCTATAGCCCAAGGCTAGTTTGTGTAGGTCCAGTTAAGTTGTTCAGAACGGCTTGATGGACAGTTTCCCATGGCCGACCGTCCGTTTCAGAGGGGAGAGGTAGCTCCTTGTCATGTTGCAAGATCCCCAACCCGAAAACCCCAACCCCGAGAAGCAACTCGGAACTATCAACCAACCTGGAGACACCATAGACACCTTCGAGAGGTCCAGGTTATATGATCTTTCTGCGAAACCCGCAGGCCACGACTGACCAAAACCGTAAACTTGCAACCCGAAGGTTCTAGGTCTGTCATTGTAGCTTCTAGGTTCATTTGTAGCTTCATCTCGTCATGGCGTCCGTGGACAAGCCTCCTTCGGATAGCAAAGAGGAGACGGTTTAAGGTTTAGGGTTCGGGTTTAAGGTAGTGTTACTATTGTGCCGGTCTTCTTGGAGTTTAGGGCGTAGGGCTTGCTACGTACTATACAACATAAATGGTTCCACAGAGGGAACTATGAGGGCTTCACTGAAAAGGGTTTAATTCTACAAGGGCACCGCGCACTATAGTACACACCCTTAAACTTAAAACCTGAAGCCTAAACTAAACCAGAAAGGCCCAGGTGGCTCGAACTCTTAGACGCTTAGATTCGTACTATGTCCGTTAGTTATCCAGTGGGGGCCTTTCAAGGTCGAGCCGACGGGGTTTACTGCCTTCTCAAAAGGAGAGTTTTCTATGCATAATGATTAGTGCTAAGCTGCCAGGATTCAATGTGCTTTACTTTAAGATCATGGGGACAATCACGTTCCAATTTAATTTCCGGCCTCTTTAATGTGGGGTTTCAAAGGTGCCTTTTATCTATTCCTAGCAGAATACTGAGTTGACTTAGGTTTGGGAGGGGCCAACTCTTTCGGCCCTTTTGGTGGAGATCCGGCTTCGGGTTTACCGAAGAACGCAACCTTTCTGCCAGGGGATTGATTTTTTTGGGGCGCATGGTTCAGGGATCTAGTAAAGCACAGTATATCTAGAGGTCTGAACAGATAGTAACAGTAGCTTTTATCCTGTTTTGGATCCAAGGGTAAAAGGAGAGACCCTTAATAAGGACCCCTAGGTATATACCCTTAATATAGCTATTATATACCCATCATATAGCCCATTATAGGGTGGGGGTCCCCAGTGAGGGTCCCTCCTTTTCCCCTGTGATTGGATAAAGTAGAGGTCATTTTTATGAAGTACCTGCAAACCACATATATATACTGCTCAGTAAGTCCCCAACCCCCCAGGATCGTATCCTAAGTCTTTAAGCAGTAACTCCCTCCATAATTCCCACCAAAGGAAGCCTTAAAGGAACCCTTATATCATCCCAATTCTGCGGGATTCAACTCCAGTCAAGCCTTTATTAGGGTTTAGGGTTAAGAGTCTGCGCAGGAGCAACGGGCCCGAGACAAGCGAGAAAGAGCCCCTCGACCGCATGGCTCTGTCCAGGTATTCCACAGTTCAGAAGAGTTCATGGTTATGAGCTATGGGGCGGAGGGTTGAGAGTTTGGGGTTAGGCGATTTGGGGTTACTGCAGGGGTTTAGGGTCAGTGTGTGAGACAATCCCCTTGCAGCTTGAATGTACCCACACCAAACCGCAAGCTTGAAACCCCGAACACGACGGTATACATGCGTACCCGAGAGTCGGCTACAACGACCGTGATTCACTTCGCATTCGTTATCGGGGCACACATGCGCATCAACTTGTGCCTCGACTTGTCTGGTAGCCAATGGGACCACGGCATGGGTTGGGCATCTGGCCACACGGGGACATGCAGCCGAGTCTGTAGCAGTAGCTTTTTTTCGACTTGTGATGCCCCCTCAGTCTGTTCGGGCACATGCGCTTGCAAATCGAGTGCCAAAGGCTGCGCCCTAAACCCTAAACCCTAAACAGACGGGTAAACAGACGGATACGCGACAGATTGAGGCATCTTCGGGAAGTCTGGATCCCCTTAGTGTAGTACTAACAGGAATGGCTCAACTGCAGGGTGTGGTGGCGGAAATAGCTACTTCTCCAAAGTCTGGTATGAAGAATGAGGTGATTCAGTCAGGGGTTTAAACACTACCGATGTTGCCGGATCTGAGCGTTGATTCATGCTTGCAGTTTGCAGACTGGTTGCACAACATGGTCCGGCGTTGGCTGATGTAAGTGATAATTCTGAAGAGTTGTCGTCAATGATAGTGAAGGAAGCCACAGCTTGGTATGGGGTTTTCCTTAAGCTAGACCCCCTAGCACGATTGTCTCATAAGCCCACACCGTCGACTGATCTTGACCAAGTACGATGGCAACGGGTGTCTAGAAGGATGGAGTCAATAATCCTGGCGACAGCGCCAGGTGCAGTGAGGGATGCGAGTTCCTCCTCTCGCATCTCAGGTCTGTTGCCGTTGGTGTGTAAGCTCTTTGTGGTGTATGGCCCAGGAACCCTGAATGAAAGGGAGATCGGCTTAAGAAACATACAAGAGCCGTCAGCTGGCAATGCGGTGCATGATACCATTGAGCACCGTCGGAGATGGCGGAGTGTGCAAGAATGGTGGAACTTGGAGGCGCGCTGCCAGATTGCGCCTAACAGGTGAAGGCCATCACCAAGATTTCGAAGCACGTTTTGCAGCAGCATCCCGACATCAGTTTTCGGGTCTACAGGCTGAACTGGGCATTTGACCAATCTTTTCCAGTGGAAAGGGTTTAGTATCTAGGGCTTAATCTAAACCCTAAGCCCTGAACCCTAGTTGTCGGGTTTTGGATTAAGGATCAGGGGCTTAGTCTTGAGAGTTGTGGAATCAGGGTTTAGGGGTCAGGTTTCGCGGTAGGTTCGGGAGGGTATGAGGGTCTACTGGAGCTCGAACGGTGCATGAACCCTTGCACCAGCAGCGGCAAGAGAGCGACACTTGGCTATGTGCTTCCCTCGCACAATGTCTGGAACAATGGAACAATACAGAGGTTTCGCAAGTTCTGCAAAGCGAAGTAGTGTGGCGCCCGATTGCAGCATGTTCCTGTAGTTTGGGGGCTTGAACTATATGAAGAGGTTTTTCAGGGTACATTTGTGAGTAATCTTCGGCAATAGCAGTAGCAATGGTATAGAAAGCACCCTGTCAAACACCTTATATACAGGAACACTAGAAATAAACGCGTTGATGAGTGAACCGGAGGGTCCGAGTACTCCCTATTCTAGGACTTTAGGGCATTTCCAGGTACCAGAAGCCATGAACGAGTGACTACTTGGACCCTAAACCCCAAACCCTAAACCCTAAACCCGAAGCCCGAAGCCAAGGATGAGCTTCACGAGCGCATTATCGAGCGAGAGAGGCAGAGCAAGAAGCTCGGCTTGGTTTTGGCCTCTCCCTTGGGAGCCCGGTTAGGTTGAGGCTTTAGGGTTTAGGGTTTAATCGTTGCGGGTTTAGGGGTTGAGGCTTTAGGGTTTAGGGCCCCTAAACCCTAAACCCCTAAACCCTAAATTGGGCCTCTAGGGGTTAATTAATAGGGTCCCCTAGGTTTTTGGATTGAGAGTTGGGCTTCTGGCTTTGAAGTTGAAGGCTCTAGTGGCAGCAGTAGTCGTCGTAGAAGTAGTAGTAGTCGGAGTGCGAGGAGGAGCTGTACCATAGCAGTAGGAGTAGGAGTCGGAGTAAGTATACGGACAAATAAGTAATAACATCGGCACAGGACTTGAAGCAAGAAACAATATGTAGAACCGCCCCGCCAGAGAACTACAAAAAGCAGCCCGATGTCCAACCTCATCTCTGAGAGACGAATTCGGTACTGGTCCCCATTATGGCGCTTTTATGGACTCTATGGGACCATGAATATGAATTGGTTAAACCACAATTTAGGGACTGCAGCGGGGATTATAGGCAGACTGAGAAGGTGCTTCTTTAAACAGCCAGGTTTCGTGTCCCTTTTGGTGAAGACCTGAGTTCCTAGGACTTTCTGGAGAATCGCATTTCTGGCTTGTTACAGCCTGTTCTGAGTTTTTGTCTGGTCTTGCTTAGTTTCGCAGTTTTAGTGTTTTCTAGTTTCTGCTGATTCTGCTTGTTGAGCTTTTCTAGTTTGTTGCAGCTTTGTCTAGGGTTTCATAGCAAACTGGAGCTTGAGATCGAGAGCAACGAGCAGCCAATGACGGGAGTGGAGGAAGAGCTTCGTGTAAAAGTGAAGGCGTGTGCTACGGTTGATGATATAAACCCTGCATTACCCTAATGACCCTAAACTATGGGAATTATGGTGTATTCAAGGCCTGTGCCACGGTTGATGATACAAACCCTGCATTACCCTAATGACCCGTATTCCCTATATTATTGTGGTTAATGCAGGATTTGTATCATCAACCGTAGCGTCCGAATGTGTTGGCTTGATCAACACCCCTCCCCACCCTACCCCACCCCGCCCCGGCCACGCTGCCCACCCTCAAACAAGAGGCCCAAACCGTAGGCCCACCCGCCTAAAACAAACACAAGGCCCTAAAGCATTGACCCTAAACCTTGAAACGCCGAATTTTCAACCCGGACTCAAATCCCCACACCTTACCAAGAAGACACCGGAAATCTTGGCCAGGTCTCGTCCCGAAACCCTAAACTAAGGTAATGACTCAACATGACCCTGGCTACGTGTCATGACTATGGTCATAGTAATTAACCCTCTTATCGCAATCATTCTGGCAATACCGCTAAACCTTATACAGCGAGCACCCAAACCCTATCTGAAATCCTAAATCAAACACCCCAAGCGTCTACCTTCCGTTGGCGCTTCCATTTAGGGCTCCCACGAAGGGTTTTTCAAGGCCTTCGGGCCAAAAACTGTACGTAAACCTTAAGCCATAACACCGGGGCATCCGAGGCGCCATGTCGCGGGCAGCAGCAGGAATGAGGAGCCCGCGCAAGGCTCGGCTCGCGCGTGCGGTTTTTGGGACCCAGACAAGGACCTAAACGGAAGCTATTGAAGCCTATACCCCTTTGTGGGGATATGTTATTGAACGTGGATCTTCAGGTACTGTTTCAGGTTATAATGGCTACTGTTTGATTTAAAGTTTCAGGTTATAACGACTAATCTTTGGTTTAGACATGTCAATTGCATAAACGTGGGGATTGTGGTTTATGGGAACCCTAAACCCTAAACCATAAACCCAAAACCATAAGCCTTAAACCGTGTCAGAGTGCGCAGAGCTCGGGAGCAGGTTGTTCAGACTTCTCGTCTGGGTGTTTGGGAGTTCGCGTTCTGCGCATTACTCGTATATAAAGGGGTCTAGGGGTTTAGGGTTTTTAGGGAAGTTTAGGGTTTAGGGTCGGTGTTTGCAGGACTTGTGTGGACCTCGCTGAAGGGTTTAATTGGGGTCTGTAGGGAAAGCTTTTTTAAACTTAAAGCCCTACGTAGACCCCCCAACTACTCTCTAATATACCCTAAACACCCCGGTCAAGGACCATGAGGGCTCCATTAAAGGGCCCTTGGGGGGATCCTGGTAATAAACAGGGAGGTTTCGCTTGTGGGCGAGGTTGGTCGGCTGCGAGATCATGTAACCGTGCCTGCCAACAAACCCCAAACCCCTAAACCTTATAACCCTAAACCCCAAAGCCCTAAACCTTATAAACTTTCAGAAATCCTAAACCCCAAAGCCCTAAACCTTATAAACTTTTAGAAACCTATAAACCCCAAAGCCCTAAGCCTTATAAAACTTTTAGAAACCCTAAACCCCAAAGCTCTAAAGCCCAAGCTGTCGCTTGCAGAGTTTGGAGTCCAGCCTCGGGGTTTAGGGTTTAGGGTTTAGGGTTTGGTGTTTAGGGTTTAGGATTTAGGGTTTAGGACTTAGAGTTGTGGGATTGAGAGGGTTGCGGATCTGGCCACAAGCCCGCCAAGGCCTGATCATCCCGAGCCCTACACTGGGGTTTTAGGGTAATGATTTAGGAACCCCTGAACCCCGAAGCCACATCGAAAGCCCAAAACAGTCAGGCCAGCAGAAGCAGTTCGAATTCCAGAATGAGGAAGAGCGCAGAGAATCTCGGCCGCAACCGTCCAAAGGCAGTTTGGGGTCTCGGGCTTCTTTGGGGTGGAGCTTGGAGGGTTAGAGTGTTGGGGGTTTTGGGATTGCGGCATGCCTTCCTGGATGTTGGGGTTTGTATTCTGGGCTTGGACTTTGGGGAGCAGCTCCGGAGGCTTTGTAGCGCTGTTTGTGTTCAGGAGTTGGGTCCGGTTCTTGCCCACCCTTAAAACCCATATCCGAAGCCCTAAACCCGAAGCACACTGCGAGCACGCCACAGGGCCTGGCCGCGGATCCCGAAAAAGACGAAAGACGCACACTCATCAAGTAGGCCTGCTGTTATTCTACATACCCTAAGGGTCCAAAGCACCCAATAATCAGGTACTCGGGCTTGGGATACTAGTTATCTAGGTTACTAGTTTGGAGAGTGTGTGATCCTTAGGTACTTGGACCCTTAGGGATACTTCTTGGGGTCAGGTAAACCCTAAAACCGACAAACGTCAAACCCTCAGCCCTGAATCCGAAACCCGGCTCCAGGAGCTTTCTACTAGACACTACTTGGAGGTTCATGGGTGGTTATACATGGGCTTACAAGTCTCCTAATATGGGTCATAAGTATAGTTACCCTACTTATAACCCCCCTTTTAACTACAAATGAACCTCCAAGTAGTCGCTGGGACAGCTCCTAACGTACGCCCCAAAGTCTCCACATGCAGCCAGGAAGGATTACGTTCCTTACGCCCCAAGCCTGTGCAGTGCTGTAGCCTCAACCTTGAAATTTCCCACTATGCAATTTTGGTCTTGCTGCCTTGGAAGCGCAAAAGTTCAATCATTTTCCAACGAACACAGCCGTCTGCTGAACCCTTGCAGCACTGAAGTCTTAAAGTGATACCCCGATTCCCGTCAACCCTGTGTAATATATAGAGGGTATACACGTTCGTTTAGAAGAGGGGTTCGGTGTACTGTTGCAGTAGGACCTCGCAGGGGCATTAGACCCTCTGTTATGTAGGCTCCGAAAGCACAACATTCCAAGTTTAGATTCCGAGGCCACAGGAAACTTGATCCATGGCCTAACGCTCATAAAACGCAACTATTCTACATGCTGTTGGGGGTCCAGGTAAACCCTAAACCCTAAGCCACAGGAAGCCATTGACCACATCCGTCTCATGGCCCGGCGGAAATATCTCGGCGAGCGAGAGGCCGTCAGAATCCCCGATCTTCGGGTTCACTATAGGGGCCTTATTGAATAATTACCTATACTATTTTGGGGGTTCCTGATTACAAGTATAGTATAATGGGCCCCAAAGCCCTATTCTAATTGTTCAGGCCCCTATAGCAGGGGTTTAGGTTTTAGGATTCCGGTTTTGGGTTTTGGGGCTTAGAGTTTTTTGGGTTCAGGTTTCTGCGTTCCGGGACAGGGTTTAGGCTAGGAACCCCTTTAAGCCCATTTGGCTTTGTAGTGGGTTTAGGGTTTAGGGTTTAGGGTTAGTTAGTCTTGCTCAAAGCTTTATCGAACTTCATAGCACACGTGCTGCTATGACTTACCGTCTAAGAAGCTGGCTCTTACCTGGACCGTAAAGACCTCACTCTGTTTTGCTCCTTATCATGTTTTTCTTCCATTAAGCCCTGAAAAGGCAGGTTGTTTTGGGGGTTCAGGGTGAGCATGGGAGAGCTTTTGACCTTGAGGGCTTCTGTGTTTGGTCCGTATGGGGGAGTCGAACTCTCTTAGGCTTGGTCACTAATCCACGTTCGTGTATGCCACGGTCTAGGGGTTTAGAGGGTTTAAGAGCTTAGGGTGGTGTAGGGTTTCGGGTTTCGGTTCTTGTGGCCAAATGGATGGAGTCTAGAGTCTGGGGAGGTCGATTTCCTGCGAACTCACTCAGCACCCTACTATCGAGGTCTGCAAACTGACTTCTACTGTTCCGTTAAACCCCTATATGGGAGTTTCCAAAAATAGGGGACCTAATATAGTATCCTAAATAGTAGCATCCTTATTATAAAGACCCCAAATGAGGTACCCCTAGTTATCGGAAACTGCCCTTTACAGAAGTATTCCGTAGCATTGTACGTCAAACCTCCTCCACACTTGGATGAAGCTTTCGGTTCCCTTGCGAATCTTCGAGACAACCCTTGTACATGTAGAGCCGTGTTTTATGGGTAGGACTCTTGGTAGTACTAAGCATGGCTGTTGTCAAGGTCACTCACTATGTAGCCAGACTATACACTGTATGCCACAAAATCCCGGCCGAATCCACTGCAAAGCCTACACCCTCCGCGCTGAGCCCTCCACACTTCTTCTGACAGGTGAAGATCTCTGACCTGCGTGGACGCCAGGTGTCCGATGCGGAGTGGTTGCTGAAGGCCTGACTGACTCTGCTTAGGTGTTCAGTTCAGGATGTAGGGATCGAGGATTTGGGTTCTCAGGTGGAGCGGTTTAGGACTTTCAGGTCCAAGGTTGGGGTTCAGGATTTATAGGCTTAGGGCTTGTGGGCGTTAGGGTTTAGGGTTCTTACGAGATCACCGCCTGCCCTGGTTGGGCTAAGGTGCACTCGACATGCAGACCTTGGGTTCCTCCTACCCCGAGGCTCCATAGTAGTTCCTTTTTGGGATTCCCTCTTTGGATTCTAAATATGAAGCCCAAAAAGGAACTACTATGGAGCCTTAGGGTACTGCCCTCCCCTGTTCAAAGGATCCGTTGACTTCGCAAGGATAAGTGCAGGTACCAGTAGTTTTGGACCCCGAAGGAGACAGCCATGACCGTGCTTACTATATCTAGCCATCAACCTTGGAGTAGGAACCGTTTGAGGATCCCAAGAGTGTTGTCTGATCCGTTTTACGGCGAGGTGTACCAATCGTTCCTATCGCAGGTTCTCTACATTCCCTTTGACAAAGACAGAACAAAACACTTCAATGTGCAAGTTTACAAACCCACTAACCCCAAACCCTGATTCTGCCCAACCCTAAACTCTAAACCCCGAACCCTAAACTGCCCTAAACCCACGTCAAGCGCGGTTTCTAGACATAAGTTGCTTCCAAGCGACTTATAAGCCCATGATAACTACCCATGAACCTCCGAGTAGGCCCTAAACCCTATAATTAGGAGAACCCACTTAGGGGACTTATAACCCCAATTATAACCTACTAAGTCCTTTAAAAAGAGTTCAAGGTCTTTGGGAGATTCAGGGCCATTTGGGAGCTTAGGGCCTGTAGCCTTTGTGGGCTTTCAGGGTTCAGGGTTCAGGGTTTAGAGTTTAGGGTTTAGGGTCTAAACTTTAGGGTTTAGAGTTTAGGGTTTAGGGTCTAGATTTTAAGGTTCAGGGTTTGGGGTTTAGGGTCTAAATTTTAGGGTTTAGAGTTTAGGGTTTAGGGTCTAATTTTTAGGGTTTAGAGTTTAGGGTTTAGGGTCTAGATTTTAAGGTTCAGGGTTTGGGGTTTAGGGTCTAAATTTTAGGGTTTAGAGTTTAGGGTTTAGGGTCTAATTTTTAGGGTTTAGAGTTTAGGGTTTAGGGTCTAGATTTTAAGGTTTAGGGTTTGGGGTTTAGGGTCTAAATTTTAGGGTTTAGAGTTTAGGGTTTAGGGTCTAAATTTTAGGGTTTAGAGTTTAGGGTTTAGGGTCTAGATTTTAAGGTTCAGGGTTTGGGGTTTAGGGTCTAAATTTTAGGGTTTAGAGTTTAGGGTTTAGGGTCTAATTTTTAGGGTTTAGAGTTTAGGGTTTAGGGTCTAGATTTTAAGGTTCAGGGTTTGGGGTTTAGGGTCTAAATTTTAGGGTTTAGAGTTTAGGGTTTAGGGTCTAAATTTTAGGGTTTAGAGTTTAGGGTTTAGGGTCTAGATTTTAAGGTTCAGGGTTTGGGGTTTAGGGTCTAAATTTTAGGGTTTAGAGTTTAGGGTTTAGGGTCTAATTTTTAGGGTTTAGAGTTTAGGGTTTAGGGTCTAGATTTTAAGGTTCAGGGTTTGGGGTTTAGGGTCTAAATTTTAGGGTTTAGAGTTTAGGGTTTAGGGTCTAAATTTTAGGGTTTAGAGTTTAGGGTTTAGGGTCTAGATTTTAAGGTTCAGGGTTTGGGGTTTAGGGTCTAAATTTTAGGGTTTAGAGTTTAGGGTTTAGGGTCTAAATTTTGAGGTTTAGAGTTTAGGGTTTAGGGTCTAGATTTTAAGGTTTAGGGTTTGGGGTTTAGGGTCTAAATTTTAGGGTTTAGAGTTTAGGGTTTAGGGTCTAAATTTTAGGGTTTAGAGTTTAGGGTTTAGGGTCTAGATTTTAAGGTTCAGGGTTTGGGGTTTAGGGTCTAAATTTTAGGGTTTAGAGTTTAGGGTTTAGGGTCTAGATTTTAAGGTTCAGGGTTTAGGGTTTAGGGTCTAGATTTTAAGGTTCAGGGTTTGGGGTTTAGGGTCTAAATTTTAGGGTTTAGAGTTTAGGGTTTAGGGTCTAAATTTTAGGGTTTAGAGTTTAGGGTTTAGGGTCTAGATTTTAAGGTTCAGGGTTTGGGGTTTAGGGTCTAAATTTTAGGGTTTAGAGTTTAGGGTTTAGGGTCTAGATTTTAAGGTTCAGGGTTTAGGGTTTAGGGTCTAGATTTTAAGGTTCAGGGTTTGGGGTTTAGGGTCTAAATTTTAGGGTTTAGAGTTTAGGGTTTAGGGTCTAGGGTTCAGGGTTTGGGGTTTAGGGTCTAAATTTTAGGGTTTAGAGTTTAGGGTTTAGGGTCTAAATTTTGAGGTTTAGAGTTTAGGGTTTAGGGTCTAGATTTTAAGGTTCAGGGTTTGGGGTTTAGGGTCTAAATTTTAGGGTTTAGAGTTTAGGGTTTAGGGTCTAGATTTTAAGGTTCAGGGTTTAGGGTTTAGGGTCTAGATTTTAAGGTTCAGGGTTTGGGGTTTAGGGTCTAAATTTTAGGGTTTAGAGTTTAGGGTTTAGGGTCTAGATTTTAAGGTTCAGGGTTTGGGGTTTAGGGTCTAAATTTTAGGGTTTAGAGTTTAGGGTTTAGGGTCTAAATTTTAGGGTTTAGAGTTTAGGGTTTAGGGTCTAGATTTTAAGGTTCAGGGTTTGGGGTTTAGGGTCTAAATTTTAGGGTTTAGAGTTTAGGGTTTAGGGTCTAAATTTTAGGGTTTAGAGTTTAGGGTTTAGGGTCTAGATTTTAAGGTTTAGGGTTTGGGGTTTAGGGTCTAAATTTTAGGGTTTAGAGTTTAGGGTTTAGGGTCTAAATTTTAGGGTTTAGAGTTTAGGGTTTAGGGTCTAGATTTTAAGGTTCAGGGTTTGGGGTTTAGGGTCTAAATTTTAGGGTTTAGAGTTTAGGGTTTAGGGTCTAAATTTTAGGGTTTAGAGTTTAGGGTTTAGGGTCTAGATTTTAAGGTTCAGGGTTTGGGGTTTAGGGTCTAAATTTTAGGGTTTAGAGTTTAGGGTTTAGGGTCTAAATTTTAAGGTTCAGGGTTTAGGGTTTAGGGTCTAGATTTTAAGGTTCAGGGTTTGGGGTTTAGGGTCTAAATTTTAGGGTTTAGAGTTTAGGGTTTAGGGTCTAGATTTTAAGGTTCAGGGTTTAGGGTTTAGGGTCTAGATTTTAGGGTTCAGGGTTTAGGGTTTAGGGTCTAGATTTTAAGGTTCAGGGTTTAGGGTTTAGGGTCTAGATTTTAGGGTTTAGAGTTCAGGGTTTAGGGTTTGCGGCCTAGGAGGGGCTACTGGACATGGTGTTGAAGTCGACTGACATTGCAACAGCCCTTCCAACACCTTCAACTCTGCACCCCGAAAACGAAGCGTCGACCCCTGTTAACCCGAAATCCTCAAAACCCTAAACTTTTGACTATCAAACTAAGCCCCCCTTATAAAACCTAAGACTCAAGAGCCCGAACTTTAAGCGTTGAACCTAAACCCGGAACCCGGGAGCCCGAAACCGTAAGAATCTTTGCATCTAAACTCAAACCCTTAACCCTAAAACCTAAACCCCTAAACCCTAAACTCTAAACTCAAACCCTTAAACCCTAAACCCTTAAAGCCTAAACCCTAAACCCGGAAGCCTCAACCCCCCCTTCGGATCCTCCCTGAACCAGGGCGAGAAGCTGTCGTCGTCGGAGCAGCAGTGCAGCTGCCATGATTACTAGTTCTATTGCTATTACCGGCACTCCTACTATTACCTCTGTAGATAATTTATATGGGTGGTTGTCAAAATTATGGCCCCGTTTTGGGTACCCTAAATAATAGGTGTGTTATAATAGGGACCCAAAAAGGGACCCTAATATTGACAACCACCCACATGTGTAGACTTGTACAGATATACTAACACTCTGGAACCGGGTCCCGAAAGACGATGCTTCTCTCGAAGCCTTTGGGACCACCTTATCGAAGGCACCGCTTACATCGTGGAAGCGGATGACGGCTCCGGGTTGACAAAAATGTGTGGCCTAAGCCACGAAGCAACAGAGCCGGAGATGCCATGAGTTCCGTCGAACAAAGTGCTCACGTAGGAGGCCTGACGGTACGTACCAAGGTTTTACCGTCTTCAGTGATTCCAGCTTACACGCTGCTCTTTGGCGAGAGGTGTCTTCCATGCTCCAAACTGACTGCACAGTCCGAGAGCGTTTGCGGACGCTCATCTACAGTGATGACAGTATATTTAGGGTTTAGGGTTTATATAGTTTCCGCTCTTTCTGCTGAAGGTCGGCTCGAATCAGCGGAGCAAGTTGCTTAAGAAGAAAATCCTCTCAGCTTTCGAAGCTTGCCCTGGAATGCTGGTAGACACGACGAAAAGTTTGCTAGGCTATCAGAAGTGGGTCTTCTTGAACACGAAAGTAGTGTATATGAACCCTGTAGGCCCTAAGCCCTAATACCCCAAGCCCTACCTATAGTCTCCATTGTAGTTCCTGTTTTTGGTTTAACCAATTATATATTCAGGATCCTATAGGGTAACCCAAAAAAGGAACTACAATGGAGACTATAGGTAGAACCTGCAAGCCCTAAACCCTAAAATCCAAAAAACAGAGTAGTATATATGGACCCTCGAGATTACAAATCATTACTACTACGGCTGATGACATAAATCCTGCATTACCCGTATAAGGACTATACCATACTTCCCATGGTTTAGGGTCCTTAAGATCACGCAGGCTTTATAACATCAACCTTATTGCACTTGTTGGACAACCCAGGCTTCGAAGGACAGGGTTCTAGGGCTTTTAGGGCTCCAGGGTTTCCAGTTAAGGGTTTGGGGTTTGAGGGTGTAGGGGTTTGCGGGTGTAGGGTTTTAGGGGTTTTAAGGGTTTTAGGGTGTAGGGTTTAAGGGTTTGGGGTTTTAGGGTGTAGGGTGTACCGGGATGGGTATAGGGCATTAGGGAACGGCTTTAGCGTCAAGACCGAATACGTAGTTGCCTGTTTGTCCTCCAGGAGCCCAACACAAGTATAGTAAAGTGTACCCCCAAACCCTTTTCCAACTGCTAGGGTCCACGTAACAGGTCATTAGTTCTTCATGATGCAGGTATTAGGAACTTACGTGGACTTTGCAGGACAGCACCCCCGGAACCACCACTCCTGAGGCCCCAGCACCCTAAGAATCGACAGCCCATTGATTTGTAATAATATCCCGGTTGATGAACTCTACACTCTTGATCATATCCTCTGTGCCACAAACCCCGAAAGATTGAATATCTCCAAGGGTAAAAGGAGGGACCCTTAATAAGGACCCCTAGGTATATACCCATAATATAGCTATTATATACCCATTATATAACCCATTATAGGGTGGGTCCCCATGAAGGCTCCCTCCTTTTCCCCTTTGAATATCAAAACCCCAAACCTCAGGGCTCTGAAGCGACGACACCACTAATGCCAGGTACATCCAGCTCGAGAGGGAGCTATACGATGTGACAAAGCAGCGCATTGAGGACATATTCGCATAAGGGTTTAAGGCCTCGGGTTTCAGGATTCATGGCATTAAATGGCATTCGGTCATCACGTGGCTTCCCAAGTTTATCCTCTTTCTCAGTCTAGTCGCCCCTAAACCCTAAACCTAAACTTAGACGGATGATTTGAGAGCGGCAGGTCTTGCAGGAGTATTGTTGTACCAGCCAGGGACTCTGGCAGCTCCCCTGTTCGGGGCCTTGCTGCATTCCCAACCAAGCCCCTCTGGTAGTGGCTTCAGGCTTTTGGGGCCGTGGGGTTGCAGTGGCTGGGACGTAACAGGATGTCTCACTGAACCCTAGAAGCTATGAGCCCTATACCCTCAATCATGAACGCCTTCTTTTCTGTAGGTTCTGGCTATAAAACTGCGTACAGACTTTACAGGGACCCTACGAAAAGGTAGGTTTGGGCAGTCCAAGCTGGGCTCCAGACTTATATGAGGTGCTGCAATTTAGCTTAACCCTAAACCCTCAACCCTTTGCCCTAAACCCTGAACCCTCAAAACCTACTTTTTCGGGTTCCTTATTATGATTTCCTTAAAATAAGTCCAAAAAGGTAGGTCCTTCAGGTTTAAGGTAAACCCTAAACCAAGTGTCAGCTCTCCCTGTTGACAATTTTACGTTCCTGTCGGAAGATCTCCTCTCACTTTCCCTCAGACTCAGCCCCCAAGCGCCTATGTCGTTTGTGCGTACGCCTTAAAACGGGTCCTTATTATAATTAAGGACCCCAAACTGAGGTACCGCACCCCTAATTTTTGGAAACTCCCAGATTATTCTTAGGGTTCCATACAAGTACTTGAAGGCTGAAGTATATAATGCATAGCTACATGGAGCTTCAGGGCGCAAGCCGTCAGGCTTCCGGGTTGGGCTGAAAGCTAACCTCAATCATGAATGGACCCCAGAAGCTCCGTGAAATGGGGTTCGCGGTTGGTACCTACAAGCTCTGTGCCACAGGGTTCGGGGTCTTGGGTTTAGGGTTTAGGGAATTTCTAAACTCAATACCCCCAATGTGGTTTGAACACAAGTACCCTAAACCTCCATAGTAGTTCCTTTTTGGGCTTCCTATTTAGAATCCAAAGAGGGAATCCCGAAAAGGAACTACTATGGAGCCTCTGGGTATGCAAGAGATCAAGAGGAGCGTGGATTGGAACGGCAAGACACGTACAATATGCCCGATACCTACGACGACGAAGAGATGAGCGGAAAAGGCTCCGCCGGTGTTTGCGCTTCGGTGTTCTGATGAACGTGCTCCGACTTGGGCTGTGAGGGTTTAGGGGTTTCCGGTTTACCCAGAGGCTCCATAGTAGTTCCTTTTCGGGATTCCCTTTTTGGATTCTAGATATGAAGCCCAAACAGGAACTACTATGGAGCCTTAGGGTAGGGTCGTGAAGTTCTTTTTCGGCTTCAGGTTTTCGGGTTTGGCAGGTTTTGGAGCTTCTCGAGGTTCTTGTCGTGTTGGATGAAGGAAATTCACAGTCTAAAGGGGTTTAGGGTTTAGGGTTTAGAGTTTAGAGTTTAGGGTTTAGGGTTTTCCATGCACGGAGCACATGACCTTGCGACATCTGTGCCGGAAACTCTGAAAACCTGGACCCCAAGCTCTAGATCATCAGCCCTGCAGCAACGGAAAGGTCCAAGGCCTGAAGAGACCCGTAATCTAAACCTTAAACCCCAAACCTGTATTAAATCTAACACCCTCAACCTTAAGCCCTAAAGCCTCAAACACTAAACCCAACACACCAAACCTAAAACCCCAAGCCTTAAACCCTATACGCTAAACCTTGAACCCTAACGCTCAGACCTGAAGCAGTCAGGGCCAAGCAGGGTCAGCGACTTGGGCAATGGGAAAGGATTAGCGAGCGTTTAGGGGTTTAATTAGGGGCTTGCGGTTTAGGGGTTTGGGGTTTCTTGGGGCCCCTTGCTGTGCTTACAATGTAATATACCCCAAACCTTGTTATACTAATTATATTACAGCTAGTGCCCGCCTCAAGCCGGTGCCAGGAAGAAGGCACCCAAACACCTTTCTGTCCTTCAAGCCCTAAGCACTACTGTATGGCGGTTTCCGAGAATAAGGGACCCTAATAGTTACAACCCTAAATAGTAGGATCCTTACTATAAGGACCCAAAAGAAGGCACTCCTAATTTTCGGAAACTCCAGAAAGGTACTCCTAATATCTCTGCACCCAGCGACTCCGGGCTGTGGAAGGTCGGGATAAGCGCTTCGCGGTGCTTGAACAACGCTACCAGCAAACCTACGACGAGTGCCTCGGCAAGGATGTGGGTGGTTGTCAAAATTATGGTCCCTTTCTGGGTCCCTATTTTAATACGGCACTTATTATTTGGGGTACCTCCAAAAGGGACCATAATTTTGACAACTACCCATGAGGATTTTCCTGAAGGAAGTCGTAGTTTGAAACTCCTAGCCCTCGACCTCAAATCTTATGCCTTTCAGTTTCCGTCTTAATCCGCAGGGGCTGTAGGGTGAAAGGCTTGAAACATACAGGAGGCGGGTGAGAAACAACATAGCTTCGAAGGGCCTTGAGCCGGTGCCGTACCCTGGCTACTAAATCCCCCACCATGCATGATGAATTTTCCAGGCCCTTGTACCGTACTTGGAGGGTCGGGGGACTTAGTAAGTAGGATATAAGTAGACTTATAAGTGCCTTAAAAGGGACTCTAATAGGGGTTATGGTACTTATAAGTCTCCAAAATAACTACTTACTAAGTCCCCCGACCCTCCAAGTATACCTTTTAAACCTGATACAGTAGTATCTCTCTCTCTTGTAGAGCTCCGAAAGGCCCCCCCCCTTTGAAAAGATACCTTCAAGGAACTCTGTTCTACATCCTAATCACCCGAGATGTCGGTGTCTTCAAGGTGATTTGGCTTTAGGGTCAGGGGTGTAAGTTTTTGGTTTAAGAACCCTAAACCCAAAACCCTAAACCCTCAAGGGTATGAAGGCTTTAGGATTGATAGGGGTTATGGCTTCGGCCTTGGGGTTGTTGTGGGTTTAAAAGGTTTAGGGGTTTGGGATCTCCCGGAAGCCCTTGGCACAAGGGAAAACACATGCAAAAACAGGAATGTACATTGGGGGCTACCTATAGTCTCCATTGTAGTTCCTTTTGCTGGCTGCACAAGTCTTGAGGATCCCATAATGTAAGAAGGAACTACAGTGGAGACTATAGGTGCGCCCCAAATCCCACAGCAACCCTAAACCTGAAGCCAGAAGCACCAAAATCCTCCGGTAGTGATCCGTTTTCGACATATAACCCCAAAACCGTAAACCATAAACTCAAAACCACGGCACAGCCCTAAACCTAAACCCTAAACCCTACTTGAAGGCTCATGGGACTTAGTAAGTAAGGTTATAAGTAGGTTATAGTTAGGATAACCCCACTTAGGGGACTTATAACCCCAATTATAACCTACTTACTAAGTCCCATGATCCTCTAAGTAAACCCAATCCCTGCATCCCAACGCCCAGATCCTCTGCACCCGAGCTTCAGGAAGTGGCAGCCGAACGAGGAGCAGCAGCTGGAGGATGCGACTGTTAACAAGGCCCCCCCAAGGGGATCAAGCAAGAGGTGTTCGGTGTCGGTTTAGGGTTTGGGGTTTAGGGTTTAGGGTTTAGGGGGTTTCGGGAGTTTGTAGTCTGGGCAACAGCCTGTAAACGACTACGGCAAGCATATTGCTGCTTACTACACATCCCTAGCATGGTACTCTAGATCAAGGTACCTGGCGGATGTGAGGAGCGGGGTCGAGGGCTCCAGGACAATCGAGCTGGAGCGCTTCAGAGATTCAAGTAACTGTTCAGCGGTTGAAGGCTTTAGCGTCCGTGGGCATAAGGGATGTCAGGGGTTTCGGGGTGCTTCTTGGGGAAACTTCTCAAGTGTTAAGTCCCGCATCTCATTTTCCCAGCTGTAGACAACTTCTCGCATATGTGTGTATATGTATATAATATAACTGTATATACACATATCCGTAATACGTATATCATATGTGTACATCGTCTACATTGGGCTAGAGTTCAGTTCAGTTTGCAGCTATGTACTGTTGCATGCCTGCTTCCCGTAGCCGTAGCCAGGCTCCACTGACGGTATTTTGGGGTTTCAGGCAGTTTCAGGGAAGCAGTGGAAAAGAGGCTAAGAGCTTGAGGGAAGTTCCGGGTTTAGGATCGAGAGCTTTAGGATTAGTAAGGGACTTACACGCATTAGGTGCTCACATGTGCTCTTCTGGTACACGGCTTAGTCAGAGAAAGGCTTTCGGTTGACTGGAATCACCTTTGTTCGAATGCTAAGCGCTTTCTTGTTACATGTTGGATCTCTGCAATTCGGGGGATTACATAATCAGGAAAACCGTCTATGGTTGCTTATATGATTTGTTTACAAACTTGCTGATTCCAAGCTCTTCTTACACAACAAGGGGCTTCAGGCAGGTGCTAGCGTCTTCGGAATCTTTCTTTCAAGGAAGCTCTGAGCCATAAACCCTAAACTTCCCTAAACCCTAAACCCATAAACTCCGGTGGGTTTCAGGATTTGGCGTCTGAGTCTGGCATTGAAGCGTCTGAGTCTGGCATTGAAGAGTCGGGTTCCTAGGCGTTTGGGAGATACTGCATCGGTTGATGATATAAATCCTGCATTACCTTAATGACACTAAGCTATGGAAATTATGGTTTATTCCTTATTATAGGGTAGTGCAGCATTTATATCATCAACAGTATTTTGGGGGTTCCTTATTATATCTATAGTAGAATGGGCACCAAAACCCTATTCTAATTGTGAAGGTCCCTTTACGTATCAGCATCAACCGAAGCATTAGTTTGGGCTGTGTAGACCCCGTCCATGTGATTCGATTCCCACCGCTGCAGGCCGTGACCAAATACGGTGCCCAGAAAGGCCTGGTTTGGGTTTAGGGTTCAGGGTCTTGTGATGTTTTGTGTTTCCGGGTTTGCCGTTTGGGTCCACTGTTTTTTTGTTTTCCTAGGTCTGGCCTGGTCTGGGGGGCCTTGCTAGGTCTGGTCCCATGGTCCCTGGTCCCCTGGTCCTTTGGTCGTCCCCTGGTCCCTGGTTCCCTGGTCCCCTGGTCTCTCCTGGTCCTGTACCCCTGAACCTTCAAACCTGCAAACAACTAACAACAAACAACTAAATAACAAACACAACTAACAACAAACAACTAACAAGAAACAAGAAAGAACAAACAACAAATCAAGAAAGGGATAGGGGTTGAAAAAATTAAGTAAGGATCAAAAAATTAAATAAGGATCAAAAAAATTAAATAAGGATCAAAAAAAATTAAACTGGTATCCGCGAAAGGAAGGGGAAAAAGGAAGGAAAGAAAGACAGAGAGAGAGAGACAAGGAAAGAAAGAAGGAAATAAAGAACGAAAGAAAGGAAGGAAGAAAGAAAGCAAGAAAGAAAGAAAGAACGAACGACAGAACGAACTTAAAAAAATACAAAAAACAACGAAAGAAAGAAATAAAGAACAAAAGAAAGAAAGAAAGAAATAAATAAATAAAGAACGAAAGCCATGCAAGAAATAGAGAAATAAGTAAATAAAGAAAGCTACAAGTAAAGAAAGAAAACAAAAATAGAGAACTAAGTAAACAAAGCAAGCTATAAGGAAAGAAAAAAGAAAACACAAGGAAAGAACCAAAGAGAGTTAGAAACAAAAACAAAACAAACAATGAAGAAATAACCAAAGAACAAAAACAGAGAAATAAAGAAAGACGGAAGGCCATAAATTAAGAAAGAAAAACGGAAATAGTTAAAGGAACAAGAAAGACGCGGAAAAATTCAGAAGAACGATACGTAAGACTATCGCTTCATTGTGCTTTAAAAATTCAAGAACTGCTGTATCTAAAAAGCAAGAAAGAAAGACAGAAATAAAGAAAGAACGAGAGAGAGAACGAAAGAACGAAAGCAAAAACAAGAGGAAGATCGAAAGCAAGAACTAAAGAAATAAATTTAAGGAAATACCACGGAATCCGTAGGGAAATCGTGTTGTCCCGAGCACAAACCAAGCAAATCCTCAGGAAATGCAAACGAATCCGTATGAAAACAGTGTTTCCCCTGGGAAAAATTCCAAAATTGCTGTATCTAAAGAGGACGAAAGAAAGGAAAGCAGAAAGAAAGAAAGATAGATAGAACGAGAGAGCGAACGAAAGAACGAAAGCAAAAACGAAAGAAAGAACGAAAGCAAGAACGAAAGAAAGAACGAGCCAAAGAAAGAACGAAATAAATCAAACCAGAAAGAAAGCAAGAAAGAAAGGAAGGGAGTATGAGATGAACAAAGAAAGAACAACAGAAAGAAAGAAAATAAATGAACGAGCGAAAGAAAGAAAGTCCAGAATAAAAAAGCAAAGTTGGAAAAGACGAAAGAGAAATAATATGAAATAATCACAGAAACAAAGATACAAGCAACAGGATACTACATAGTCCAATCGAATATACCATAATATCGTAAATGTACCGTAACATAATATAACATAATGTAACCTAATGTTATAAAATATACTACATATTATGTTGTAAATATACACACTGTATTGCACTATGTTACAATGTACTACACTATAAACTAAGATGTTGTTTTGTTCTATGTCATCTTCCGTTATATTGTATTGTTGTATTTTTAGTATGCTATTATATGCTATAAGAAGCAAGGTTCTGTTATGTCAGAAAATGTCACACCATTTTTGTGTTGTCGAACCATCTTATGTCGTTCTTCTGGTTTACTATGTTATATATATTAGGTTAGAATGCTAACGGAAGAAGAGACACGAACAGGCACGGAAGAACAAAACACCCGCCGCCGCGCTTTTCGAGACGTGCAAGCTTGATTCAAAGAGTGTTTTCGAAGCCCATCATGTGAACGTTGTCTCTGCAAATGGGGGGGGCTGCGCCCCCCCCAACCCCCCCGCTGTTTTAAGCCGTGCAGGGTTGCTTTGAAGCATATGCCTTTTTTTGAAACCCAGCAAATGAGGGCGTCTCCGCCCTTGTAAATACATGCTGAACCAGAATCGCCAAATGAGGGGCGTGTTTAAGATAGATGATGAAGCGGAATACCAGAAACAGCTACAACAGGAAATCCGTCCTAAATGTGAAATTGTAAGGAAAATTTGATTTTCCCGAGGAACAACCATATGTTGTCCTTCTGAAAACCTGAAGAAATGACACGAACGCCATAGGTAAGAGGAAAATAGGCTTTTTCCTACGAAAAATCAAGGAAAACTTAGGGAAATACCACGGAATCCGCAGGAATATCGTGTTTTCCAGAGGAAAAACCAAACAGATCCTAAGGAAACAAAAGAAAATCCCTAGGAAAACAGTGTTTTCCCTTGGAAAAATTCAGGAATTGATGTATTCTAAGTGATTTAAAATTTTTTGATCCTTATCTTAATTTTTTTTGATGCCTCTGCCCCAGGAATTGCTGTATTTTGAGCGATTTAATTTTTTTTGATCCTTATTTTAATTTTTTTGATCTTTCCATTTAATTGTTTTGATCCTTATTTATTTTTTTTTGATCCCTCACCCCTTTCAAGAAACAACAAACAAGAAACAAGGAACAATAAGCAGGAAACAACTAACAATTAACAAGAAACAACTAACAACTCGCAACTCACAAATAACAACCAACGACTGACAACTAACAGCTAGCACCAACAACTAACAACTAGCAACGAACAACTAACACCTAACAACTAGCAACTAGCAACTAGCAACTAAGTACTAACAACTAAACAACTAACACAACTAGCAACTAACACAACTAGCAACAAGCAACAAGCAACACACAACAAGCAACAACAACACCACCACCAACAACAACAGCAACAACAACAACAACAGCAACAGCCACAACCACAACCACCACGACAACCACAACAACAACAACAAGAACACCAGCAACAGCAACAACAACAACAAGAACAACTACCACGACGGCAACGACGAGGACGATGACGACGACGATGACGAGGATGTCGACAACGACACCAAAAAACAACGACACAAGACAGAAGATTTGAAATTGTAATCCCCGCAATGTTCACACGCGAAACACGACCCTGCAAATTGTAGTGCTCCAATAGCTTCATGCAAGACACAAGCAAAACCAGACCCTGCGAATGCTAGTTCCCCATTAGCTTGATGGTAAACACAAACAATAAAAGACTCTGCAAATTGGAGTTCCCCAATAGCTTGATGCAAAACACAAACAAAGCCGACCCCGCAAATTGTAGTTCCCCCATTAGCTTGATGCAAAACACAAGCACAAGAACACACCGCAAATTGTAGTTCCCTAATAGCTTCATGCAAAACACAAGCAGAAGAACACACCGCAAATTCTAGTTCCCTAATAGCTTGAAGCACAACACAAGCAGAAGAAGACCCTGCGAATTGTAGTTCCCCAATAGCTTGATGCAAAACACAAGCAACACCGATCCCTGAGCCGTCAAATTCTAGTTCCCCAATAGCTTGATGCAGCAAAGACCGCAGTTGCCGCTGTTGGCAACCACAACCAGTGGGCCAGACTTAGGAAAGCAAGCCGGGGAGGGCCAGACCTAGGAAAAAAAAAAACCGCTCCGCCGTTTTTAGGGTTTTTAGGGTTTGGGATTAGGGTTTGGGGTTTAGGGTTTAGGGTTCGGGGTTCAGGGGTCGAGGTCTTCGGGTTAAGCGTCCAACGCGAGAATACATCTCCTGGTGCACAGGCACAGGTTTTGTTGCCGAAGCCCTTCGTCCTCGGAACCTGAAGCCGTAAACCCTACGCCATAACCTGGTTTAGGTTTTAGGGTTTAATTAGGGTTATAGCCTATTCTTTGTTACCTGGTTTAGGGTTCAGCGTTTAGGGTTTAGGGTTATAAGCTATTCTTGGAAGTTAGTGAAACTGTTCGGATCTCTATGCAACGGCAGGTTGATGTGGTTCAAGTCTACAGAGTCTTCGATGTTCAAGAAGCTTAAGGCAGCTTACTATAGAGTGAGAATTTGATCATATGTCATAGTCATAGCGCTTTTTGGAGGGGTTGCTTTGTGGGGCTGCGGCATGTTGATTATCATGTTTGAACCCTGAGCGCTTCCACCCAAAGCAGTAAACCATACGAGACTTATGCTAGTATTGTATTATCACATACACATTCACTCACTCACGAGCTACTGTAGGGTTTAGGGCTTAGGGCTAGGGTTAGAGTTTCGGGTTTAGGGCCTTGTGATTAAGGTTGAGAGTTTCGTGTCTATTGGGCTTGTGCTTCAGGGGTTACTTGGAGGTTCATGGTAAGTTATAAGTAGGGTTATAAGTAGGGTAACTACACTTATAACGCATATTATGAGACTTGTAACCCCAGTTGTAACTACCCATGAACCTCCAAGTAGGCCCTAAACCCTATAATTAGGAGAACCCACTTAGGGGACTTATAACCCCAATTATAACCTACTAAGTCCCTTAAAAAGAGTTCAGGACCTTATCCTCAAGTAGCCGCCAGGCCGAAAGGAGAACAAAGACAAGACGCAGCAGCCTGGCGCAGTAAACCCGCAGTTGATATAGTTAGGGTTTAGGGGTTTAGGGTTTAGGGTGGGCATACCCTAAGGCTCCATAGTAGTTCCTTTTTGGGGGCTCATATTTGGAATCCTGTAAGGGAATCCCGAAAAGGAACTACTATGGAGCCTCTGGGTAGTAGCTACAAGATCCTCGTTTTATCATAAGATAATGACAGGTAATGCTGTAGTATAGCCCAAACTCCTTCCACAAATGCAGGCCGGCAACACTAGCAGCCAGATGCAGGACATAAGCACCAGAGTCACCAGAGACTGCGCAGGAATGCCACTGCTTTGCTCTTGGTGTTAATCATAGACAGCCAAGGGTGTTGATATCCATAAACCCGCCAACACGCGGCGTAGGGTTTTGGGGGTTTACTAACGACCAAGGATTTGTATCAGGAAGCCTTAATGTAAATTCCTGAAAGATAGCTTCACTCGGTACAAATAGGGTTGAACAATTAGTAGAGTTATTCGCTCGTGCTGACTCTGACTACAACAACTTTAGCAAGCCATGCTCCAAACTCCGATTCTAATGATTCGGATCCCTCTATATAAATATTACGTGATGTTGGAGGGTTCGGGCCTACTATGGTTGGGTAATCCTGACAACTAGGGCACACGACTTACGATTTTCGGAGCAGGGTGAGGGCCCTCGACAAGTCACTCCTGCACCCTGGATCCTCAGATTTTGTCAACCAGCCGGCAAACCCCCAAGGCCAGCAAACTCCTAACCCTGAAACCCTGAGCCCCCGAATACCACGAAAACAACAACCTAAAACCGACACCCTAGCCCTCAATCCTAAACCGCCCTATACCCCAAATCCTAAAGCCTAAACTCCTACCTCCCGATGCTCTCGGTCGCGGAGATTGCTTCCACTGAGGTACGAGCTGATCCTGGAGGCACGGGGTTTAGGGCTAAGAGGGTTAGGATTTAGGGATGTTCAGAGTGTCTGGGTTTTCTGGAGGCACCCGGTTTACGGTCAGTGTAGCAGTGTGTAGGGTGTTAGGGTTTAGGGGTCTCGGGTTCCCACCTGCTCCCAGGCCCTGTAGTTGAGGAAAAATTTAAGCCCTGAATCATACCGAATGTCCGTATATCGAATGAACTAACGGCATAGCTTCCAAACAGCGGTAGTTCTATTTTAAGTACAATGTCACTCCTGGCAGACAAATAGACATAATATGTACATACACACAGACTTACATGCATGCATAATTACATATGTAAATACATGAATACATGCATACATACATACATACATACCTACGTACATACATAGACACACATACAGACACACATGCATACATGCATGGATACATACCTATGCATGTATGCATGTGTTCATGTATGCATGCATGTGCACACGTATGCATTTACTCATATGTTTGCACATGTATGTTTATATGTACAGACATGTGTAAACATATCGTATGTATGTATGTGTGTATATATATACATGTGTAAATACATATGTACACATATCTATATATATATATATATATATATATATATGTATGTATGTACAGATGTGTATGCATTTATGTCTCTCTCTCTCTCTCTATATATATATACACATGTAGATATACACTCCATGTACACGCACACGCACACGATGCAGCTCACCTCGTTTTCCTGCGGCTGCGAGGATGCCGTGGAGTTTGGCGAGGCGGAAGTCGTCGGCGGTAACTTCAAGGCACATCTCTAGATAGGGTGTGGAGTTTAGGGTTCAGCATTTAGGGTTCAGGGTTCAGGGTTTAGGGTTCAGGGTTTAGGGTTCAGGGTTCAGGGTTTAGGTTTCAGGGTTCAGGGTTTAAAGGGTTTACGGTTTAGGGTATCTAAACCCACAGGCTGAGGCTCCAAAAGAAGCACTACTATCGAGCTGGTCAATAATTCTGTGCCGCCGACTTCGGCAAACCCCACCTCGGTTTACGTGGCCTCAGTACACGAGAAGGCCGAACTTGCGAACACTTGGAGGTGCTTGTTGTCCCCATGTGCCGTTTCAGAACTTGCAAGGAGGACTAGTTCTGCACAACAGTTGCAACTGGATCCTGCTTGCGTTTCGTCGAATTTTTGCATTTGTATTCACAGCCACGACGTTGAAGTACAGCTGTGGAGAGTAATCTGACTTAGCTGTCTTGAACTTCTAGCACTTTCACGTCTTGGTTCGATTCTATGCTACTCAAAACCTTGTAATCTGGATGCCAAACTTTAGCCGTCAGGAGCGGTTCAGAGGTCAGCCAAATCTGGCGGTCCCGTTAAAGGAGATCTCCTTATGCGGTTTGGGTGTGAGGTTCACGATTTAGGGTCTGTGGGGTTTGAGGTTTTGGTGTTGGAGTAGGGTGGGGGTGGTGAGGGAGCGGAGACACCTATCAACTCTGAGACCTATACTGGTTGAGGGTCTCTAAATTTAGATAAGTTGAAAGCTGCAGGAATACTTGGAGGTTCTAAACCCTGTAGCCTTATGGAGTCCCTATAGATCCCTTTAAGGAGACCCTTAAAGGAACCCTTATAACTAGCCATGAACCTAGCTACCCTAAGCCCTATAGGACCCTTAAGGGAACCCTAAACACACATGAGGAGACTTATAACCCTACTTAGAACTACCCATGAACATCGACAAAGCTGCAGGAAAGATGTTACCGAACCCCCTATAGATACCCCTATAGATCCCTTTAAAGGGACCCTTAAAGGAACCCTGAAAACTACCCATGAACCTCCAGGTACTGTTACCGAACGCTCTCCAGGCCCCAACCATCGCGGAGGGTCCGAAGGCAGAAGCCTCCAGCGACGAAGATGAGAAGGAGATGCACTTGGGGCTTAGTGGTAGTAGTAGCAGTAGTAGTCGTAGTAGTAGTAGTACTAGTAGTAGCAGTAGTAGTAGTAGTAGTAGTAGTAGTAGTAGTGGTAGTGGTAGTGGTAGTGGTAGTGGTAGTGGTAGTGGTAGTGGTAGTGGTAGTGGTAGTGGTAGTGGTAGTGGTAGTGGTAGTGGTAGTGGTAGTGGTAGTAGGGGTAGTGGTAGTGGTAGTGGTAGTGGTAGTGGTAGTGGTAGTGGTAGTGGTAGTGGTAGTAGTAGTAGCAGTAGTAGTCCTAGTGGTAGTGGTAGCGGTAGCGGTAGGGTGTTCCGGAGTTGAGGGCTTCATAGGGCGTGAGGATGTCGAAGAGTTTCCAACATCACAACACCGGTGTGCACTGCTGCTCCTCCGGAATCTGGCGCACGTACGTGTGGTTGCATGTGACGGTTTGTCTATCCATCTCGTAGAAGCCAAAAAGTTGGAAACCCAATAGCTTAAAATAATCCTTATAAGAGCAATGTAGAGGGAATCCCAGCACTATTTGGCCTTAATCCGGTTTCCAATTTTTTTGGTTTACTGTAGGCGACTTTTCCAGTGTTTTTCGGTGTTGCTGCCCAAAGACGGATCAATCAATGCTCAGGGCCTGAGTCCAAGTTTTTAACGAACCCTTCGAGATCTGCTTGAGGCTTTGAAGTTTCGTCAGGTGTACAGCTGTTTGCCGGTGCGGCTTCTCGGCGTTCTCGTCGGTTGCTATCGGCTTACTAGAAGCTTTTGATTAGATTGGTAGGGTTTAGGGTTTAGGGAACCCTAAACCCTAAACGGTACCAGAGCTGTAGCGCCATGCTTTTTGTCATTCGCGGGCTAGGTAGGCCCCAACCGAAGTCCAGGACATGAACGTGCCGAAATCAGTCCGCGATGCGAGAGCAGACAAGATGCTGAAGAAGGAGGTCCAGAGTTGACGGTTTCGGTGTTCTTTTCGATCTTTTGCCATGAGACTATTCTATGCTAGTTTGTTTGCATTTCTGCAGTGTAACATATGATACTGCCTATTATATCATGTATTTCATGAGCTAGGGTCTTGGCGTGTTTTGGTACAGGGCGTGGAGTTTCGTTGAAGACTTTGGAGTTTGGGGGTTGGTTTTCTTCGAGGTTTGAGTGTTTCGCGGCTTTAGGGTTCAGGTCCTGGAAACTCGTGTGATTCCGGGGCTTGGGGGTGGGTTTGGGTTGGGGGCATTGGGCTGAAGGCTAAGGATTTTGTGTTGAGGGTTGGCTTTTGAGCGGACCGGCGCAGAGCTCTAAGGCCCCACCAGCACTGGAAAGTTTAAATCTTTCGGGTTGAGGGTACACTGGGTTCAGTCAGACCTAGCGCATGCCGCCCAAAATCTGTCAGTCTGTTGCTCTAGGTCTCATCGAGCCAGTTTTTGTCCTACAGTCATCAAGACATTCAAAGTTGTACTCGTGCATAAATGCTTATGACTTCAGCAAGCCCCCCAGTCCAACATGCTCAAGCCGTCAGTGAATTCTAAAGCCTCAGCCCAGCAAACTTTTGCAGTTGCTTCCTAGCACCAATCCTGACGCCCAACCCCATGCCATACATGTTGAACGCCAGACTGCACATCGGTTAGGGTTTCAGGACTCAAGTAGCACCTAGCACACGGAGGTTGTATACCAAGGTCCCTAGCACAGACAGGCAGACACGTGCAGACAGACACACAGGGTCCACCCTAAAACCTGAAACCCCTAAACCCTAAACCCTAAACCCTAAACCCTAAACCACCTAAACTCTGCATCCTGAACCCTAAGCCCTGAAGGCTCCTAGCCCCTAAGCCCTCCTAAATGCTTAACCCAGCACCCGAGCCCTGAACCCTATCAGCACTCCCCAGCTACCCTCTGGTATATCCCAAGTACCAACCATTACGGACCATAAGGGCTCCATTAAAGGGTATTCAGGGGTTCCTGGCGCCACCGTAAACCCGCCTAAACCCTAAACCCTTAAACCACTGAACCTTAAACCCTAAACCCCTAAAACTTAAACCCCAAACGCTAAACCCTAACCCCTGAACCGAAAGCCCTGAGAGCCTTTTGCATCTGGGTTCCGAGCTCCTTTTGGCGTAAGGCGGACAAGCTGCTGAAAGATCGCAAGTCGCTGCCAGTGTACCTCTACAAGGCTGCGATGATTAGGGTTTTAGGGTTTAGGGATTAGGGTTTGGGGTGTAGGGCTTCATGAGGGTTCCTTGAAAGGGATCCATAAGGGTGGAGGGTTTTAGGGTTTGGGGATTAGGGGTTTAGGATTTAGGGCTTAGGAGTTTATGAGACTGGGAGCATCGTGATTATGCCTTTACAAGGCAAGGATGACTTGTTGTGTATTGGGTTTAGGGGTTAAGGGCTTAAGGGGGTTTATGGGTGTAGGGCTTAGGGGGCTTATGAGTTTAGGGAATAGGGAGTTTGTGAGACCACCACGATTATGTGACGATACTGGTTATTGCTACGTATTACCGAAAGACAACTGCTGCGCGTACTTTCCTTTTTCCCGCGGTACTGCTTCTTTTTGTTGCCACCCCATGCACTGCTATCCTTATGAAAATCATCGCTCATTTGAAAATTTGCCGTGTTGTCAGTACATACTATTGTCTATTGTCGCCATCATGATTGCTACGTTCTCATCAATACTTGTGTGACTCCCAGTTATTCGTTGATTGAACTGCATGCTGCGCTTCAGTCTGTAATCAGTAAACTCGCAGCACTGCAACTTAGCCAGTTTTCTGGTGTTCGTTCTACGCTCTTGCCACGTGCGGCTTTGCCCCCCGGCTCGAGGGTTTGAGGGAAGATGCTATTGTTTAAGGGTCCATGTACCCAGCTAGCACAAACATTGATCGCAAAGTACGTATATAGGGACTACTTTAAAGCCAACGTATATACTATTTGGTTACATGTACATTTTTCCCTACCCTAAACCCAAGTCTTATAATGTAAAACCCTGAGCCGGGCCCCACAGTCCCGAGTTTTAGAGCTGCTGTGGGGTCTTATTTTACATTCAGGATTCGGATTCTCTCTGCACCGGCGCCCGGGCCCCTTCCTAAGATTGTGGTGCGCTGAACCCCCAGACGGCTAGACTCCCCGAAGCAAGCCCTAAACCCCACAATCCCGAAACCCTGAAAACCTAAACCCCTCAAACCTACACCTTACACCCTAGCTAGACCCCCCAACTACCCTTTATTCTACCCCCCCAATACCCGCTATTTAGGACCATAAGGGCTCCATTAAAGGGCCCCTCGAAGGGTTCTGCCCCAACCCTAAACCGTAAACCTTAAACCCAAAGCCCTGAAGCAGGGAGCCTCCAAGAATAGAGCTCCCTCAGCTCTCAAGCGAGAGAGGCACCGTAGAAGGTCTCAGGTTTAGGATTTAGGAGGTGGAAGGTTTAGGGTTTAGGCCAAGTTTAAGGTTTAGGATTTAGGGTAAGTTTCAGGTTTAGGGTTTAAGAGGGTTCAGGTTTACATAGGGTTTAGGTTTAGGAGGTTTCAGGTTTAGGGTTTAGGTTTTAAGTGTTTCCTTCCATCGGGGTTGTAAGCTGGGGTTACATAGGGTTTACTTAACCTATTTGAGCTCTCAGGGTGCCTCAATATGTCTACATCAGCCCCCAAACCCTATTCTAAGTCTTAAGGCCCCTACATTACTCGGATAGTACAATAGGGGTCGCAATAACTGGTGTTAGCACCCCCGTAAGGTAGGGAGAAAGCCTGTGCACTACTATCTCGCAACAGTCTCACTCCTTTCTGTTATTGCAAAACATACCCCCAAGGAATATTACATGCTGAACCCCCGGAGCCTAGGTGGCTGTTGTTATGGCCAGTGTCCTTATCGAACCTCTAAACAATCTCTACCATACCTCTGTAAAATCCTCACGGTTACCGTGCTTGTAAATCCCGGCATCTAGGGAGAGCTTGTTGCTGACCTCCTGGTCTTTGCCAAAGGCGCCGTTGCTTGAGGCTGTGCGCGACTACCAGGCGAACATCCATCTCCCGCTTGTTGCTTAGGAAACGTATCTAATTTTTGTTCAAAAGCTAAAATGCAACGGGGTCCGGTGCTTCCTTGAGCCCTAAACCCTAAACCCTACACGCCAGAGAGTTTAAGGAGGTCGCCTCGCATCGTTTGAGTTGAGCTCTAGCAGACTCTACTTTGAGGATCATGGGACTTAGTAAGTAGGTTATAATAGCTATAATTGGGGTTATAAGTCCCCTAAGTGGGGTAATCCTAATTATAACCTACTTATAACCTTACTTACTAAATCCCATGAGCCCTCAAGTAGCCTAAGGCAAGTCAGCTCCGTGAGGGGCTGTTCCACGAAGGTCATACAGGGGCCTGAATAATTGGTATAGGGTTTTGGGGCCCATTAAACAATACTAATGATAAGGAACCCCAAAATAGTATAGATAATTATTGAGGCCCTACATTTTGTCGAGCGATAAGTTTCATGCAGCATCGCGATCTTATGAGAGGAGCTGCTTCCATCTTCGTCATTTGTGCAGATTCTTCCTTGTGTCCTGCCATAGATATTCAGAGCCGCATTATACATCTACCTTAACCTACCAATCCCTACTTTTTTGTAGGGCCCCTATAAATTCCATATTAGGGTTTATAATAAGGACCTACAAAAAAGTAGGGTTTGGTAGTTTAAGGTCGTATAATATCCCCCACAACCCGGGTTTAGTGATTCAGGCCCCCTGTCGCACGGAGGTGCTGATCATCGTTGGGGAGACCGGCTCTGGGAAGACCACGCAGATCCCGCCGGGAGCTTCTAAAAGGGTTTAGGGTTTAGGGTTAAGGTTTAGGGTTTGGGTTTAGGGTTAGGGTTTAGGGTTTAGGGTTTAGGGTTTAGGGTTAGGGTTTAGGGTTTAGGGTTTAGGGTTAGGGTTTAGGGTTTGGGAGTGAGATTTAGGGTGTAATTAGGGTGGTTGAGTCCCAGTTCGCCACAATCGGGGGGGGGGGGGGCGGGGGCTCAATTTTAGGAGGACCTTTGTTGGGAGAGGTCTGGCTCAAGCCCGTCATCTAGCCCGAAACCTCACATCTTCAGGCTTCCCACAGTTGCTTGGCAGACCCTGATCGGCTACACAACCCTCGACCCTCAGATATACCTTAATTGTATATACAGTGCTGAAGCCCCAAAACCTGAAACATGAGGCCTTCGCGCAAGCCCACGCCGAAAGGGGATTCCAAGCAGCAGGAAAAATGTTGGCTTTAGGGCTTAAGACCACTTGTAGAGGCGTCAGTAACTAACAATGTCATTGTATAGGTTTATACACCTTTATCATCACCTTGCAGCACGAAACCCAGCATCCTGAATCCGACGCCCTATTCAAATCCAATCAGACACCTAACAGTCCCAAAAGTGTACTTGAGGCCAATAAGAACTCATCAAAAAATGCATGAAACCTTGTACCACCCTGCTCTTCTCATCAAAGCACCCTTTTTCTGCCTTTGCACTTCGCTTAGGCAGTACCTCCACGAGGTTGGCTACTCGAAGATCGGCAAGATCGGGCGCCTTGGCAGCCCATGGCGGCTTGCGAGTTCAGGGTTTGTTCAATGCTCTATGGGGCTTTGGCGTGTTTTAAAAGCGTTTAGTGCGTTGTTTCTGTTTTTGTTGTTTGTCGTTTCTGATCGCTTACAGGCTAGGCTTCCGGAGCACTACACAGGAAACCCTGCAGAAGACTGAACGTCAGAGCTTCCACAGTAACTGTCTTTCCAGGTGCACGCAGCCCCGGCGAGTCGCGGCGATGTCTGCTCTTTGCTCAGAAACTGGTGACTTTCCAGGATCCAGGGCTCAGCAGAGTTGCAGACCGTGTAGAGAATAGGGTATCTAGGGATCGGGGTGTATCGTCGTCTGAATAATTAATTCATCACTAGAATTCCGATGGCATATAAGAAACTTTAACCCCCCCAAACCTATCTAGGTAGTTCTCACAATTAGGGTGCCTTTTCGGGTCCTTGTTGTAAGGGTGCCGTACTATTCAGGGACTTAAAAACGGAGCGCAACTTAGAGGACTACCCAGACAGCTACCAACAGTGTTCCGCAGGGTTCCTCATTCTATATGGGTGGTTGTCAATTTTAGGGTCCCTTTTTGGGTCCTTAGTATAATACGGCACCTAGTATTTAGGGTACCCAAAAGGGGACCTTAATTTTGACAACTACCCATATTAACCTGTACTACTGTATACAGGAGCCCAGAAGCCTGAGCCAGAAGAAGCCTTTTCGAATTAACCCTAGACCCTTCACCCTCGAAACCTACATGTAGGCCCATACATTACTTGGGTTGTAGGGTTTGCTGCTCCAGACTTGTGGCTTTTCTCGCCGATACATAGGAGACCAGATGACGGCTTATGGCAGCGTAGTTTAGGCAGCTTAAGGGCTATGATGGGGATTTGGGGTACGAATGAGTATAAGTCAGACCAGGAACCCTAGGGAGTCGTGTGGGTAAATTTTCAAGCTTGTCTATATTATGCCGGGATTCTGCACGGGATTAGAAGTGCATCTAGGAACTGAGAGGGTATAACAGCGCTTATACTCCAAGGGTAAAAGGAGGGACCCTTAATAAGGACTCCTAGGTATATACCCTTAATATAGCTATTATATACCCATCATATAGCCCATTATAGGGTAGGGGTCCCCATTGAGGGTCCCCATTGAGGGTCCCTTCTTTTCCCCTTTGATATACTGTAGGGCTCAGGATCCGCGATCCCATGTTCGTGCTGCTTCTCGTCGCTGCGCTTAGCTACCTGAGTTGATCCACCGACGCGGTTTAGGGTTTAGGGGTTTAGGGTTTAGGGCCGCCGTCCCATGTTTTCAGGGACATGCAACTTGTTGAAGTTCAAACCCGCCACCTGAACAGCAGCTGTCTAGGACTGAGGGTTTGAGTTTCTGGGGCAGAGAGTTTCTGGTTCTTGGGCTCTTAGTCCTGCAGTTTGCCGCGGGCACACGGTTTGGCTGTGAGGTTGCGGCACGTGTGGCGACGGAATACGGCCGGAGCCCCAAAGTGTTCTGCTTCGGCGAGGACAATGCAACATCAGCGTTTAGCATTCAGGGATCTGGGTCCTTGCCGACTACCTCAAGCCCTGAACCCCAAACCTCAACACAACGTACGATCGAAGGCCTGCAGGCACTTGAAGCAAGCATGAGTTCTTTCAGAAGAATCAATGTGCGAAATCGTGTTTAGAGTTTAGGGGAACTGGTACCTTCCACATCAAGTTCAATGCCTCTAATCTCAGCTCTGTCGGTGCACCATTCAAACGCCTGCTTCCCAGGCTGCAAGATTGGTCATGAAGTTGGCTACAACATCCGTTTCGAGGACGCTGAGTGGAGTCGAAGCCTAGATAGAAACCCCCTGAGCTCCTGAACCCTTCATCGCCCACCCGGCCATAACTCCAAATCACCTGCCCAAGAACTCGTACAAGAAAGCATAATAGGGAACCCTGGAAAGGAAGGTTCTATAGGGTCCAGGCACACCTTGCACCTTAAAGTCTGACCCTCGACCCGAATCTCCGAGCCTTGAACTTTAGCAGTGAGAGTTTTCAGTTCTTGTCGAGAGGTAGGAGTCGATGGCACACCGCTTCATCGCTCGCACCCGTTCTGGGGACTACTTGGAGGCTCATGGGACTTAGTAAGTAAGGTTATAAGTAGGTTATAATTAGGATAACCCCACTTAGGGGACTTATAACCCCAATTATAACCTACTTACTAAGTCCCATGATCCTCTAAGTACGGTTGGCGGTTCAGGGTTGGAAGATCAAACTCCCCCCCAAAAGGCAGTCTACCTTGTTGGATTCATCGGTGGTGGCCCACCGTGCGTGTGGCGCAGGCATGGAGAAGTCTATTTTTGAGGCATGTTAGACCCTCAATCCTTTCACCCCGAAATCCCAATCTCCAATATCTAAATCTAAGTCGAAATCTTGCGCTAAACCAAAAGCTTGACCCCATAGCCCTGAACGAAACCTTAAACCCTGGACCGGTGAAGGATTGCACCACCGACCGTACCATCATTGAGTACATGACCGACGGAATGCTCTTACGGAGCTTCCTGTGGGGACCCCAAGAGGTTTGGGGTTTAGGGACGAGGGTTTAGGGCCTAAGTTGGTTGAGGGTTTAGGGAGCCACAACTGGTCATGCACAACGTGTGTGTGTGTGTGAAAATATTCTTATACGTAAATATTTATTGATGCAGGTGGGGTTTAGGGTTTTAAGGTTCAGCGTTCTGGGGCTTGGGTCTAGCGTTTAGAATTGTGTTTTCTGTTTCTGGCGATGCGGAATTTGAAGGGACTCTGCTGGCTGTGGCATGTTTCACTTGCATTTTTCAGGTGGGGTTTACGAGCTGGGTTTGTAAGAGCTCGTAGTTAGTGCCAGTCATAGGGAACCAAAAAATGTCCGCTAAAGTGCTGATAGTAAGAATGGGTAGGAGCAAGGAGCACCTTCCTTCATTGAAGCGCTTTCTATGGTTGCGGTCTTAACTCGAGAGTCATGGCTTTAGGTTCACGGATTTGGACATATGGTTAGGGCCTGAGAATTGTAGAACGTGCGTGAGACGAAGCTGTCAACTGGACCTACTCATGTACACTCATGGACCCAGAAGCACGAACCGTTGTGCTTCGGGTTCAGAGGTTCGGGTTGAGTCCATCTTGGGCTCATGCATTTCAAGATTGAAAGAACCCCAAGCTGCGGTGATCCAAAGTAGACCTGAACATATGCATAGTTTCTTTGTAGATGTGTGTAAAGGTCGTCTAATGTTGTGTATATATATACATACTTACACATTCATGCATACACATACAGACATACATACATGCACATATACATTTACACGAGCAGTTGCATGCATATAAATATATATAATGTATATATATATATATATATATATATGTAGACATACAAAAATCTACACATATACACATATGTGCATACACACGCATGTGTACGTGTGTGTGCGCAGCTTTGATGCTTTGCACCTTTTGAATAAATTTCGCTGCATAAGTGTGGAGCATCACAAATTGGCGGTCTTTGCTGGGAGTTTCAAGGAAAGCAACAAGCCAACCCCCAGCACCTAACTTGGTTGCCTTGAAGCCCGGACCCTAAACCCTGGAGCCTATAACTATAGCCTCCTTAGGATTATTATTATTATTATTATCATTATTATCATTATTATCATTATTATTATTATTACTATTATTATTATTAAATTATTACTATTATTATTGTTATTATTATTATTAGTATTATTATTATGGTTCTAAGGCGGGTATAGATAAACCCCAAGCCCTCGACCTAGACCCCTACCCCTAAACCCCGAAAACGGAATCAACAACACCAAATCCTCTTCGGTAGTTGGACCCGCCTGAGCAAGCCCGTCTTGTGACCTTGTCAGAACCTACGTGGCACTTATAGAGCACTTTAAGCGAACTCTAAACCCAAAACCCCTAAACTAAGGAACCCTAAGGAACCCTAAAAAAGTCCCCTTTGAAGGAACCCTAAGGAACCCTTGAAAACAACCCTACCTATCCCCTTTACAGGGATTCTAAGGAACCCTAAAAAACCCTACCTATCCCCTGTAAAGCAACCCTAAGGAACCCCGAAGAACCCTACTTATCCCCTGTAAAGCAACCCTAAAAAACCCTACTTATCCCCTTTAAAGCAAAAGCCAGAAAGTTGGAATATGATTATCCTAAACCCTTTATGGTAAATTATCGGGTATCCTACCCTGAAATCATATTCCAACTTTCTGGAGTTCCCTTTAAGGGTGGGAGGGATTCACGGCTTTAGACAGAACTCCGACAGGACCCTAATTATCCCCTTTAAGGGAACCCTAAGGAACCCTAAGGGATCCTAAGGAACCCTACAAGACCCTAAGGAACCCTACCCTATCCCCTTTAAGGAGACCTTCTCAAACCTCGCAGGCACGAGCCCGACATGGCCTCCTACTCTGTCGGGGCACCCTTAAAACGCTGGAGTTGGGGTTGTGGGGTTTAGGGTTCCTTTAAAGGGGGTCTATAGGGGTTCCTTAGGGTTCCTTTAAAAGGGGTCTATAAGGGTTCCTATATTTAGGGTTCCTTTAAAAGGGGGTCTACAAGGGTTCCTATATTTAGGGTTCCTTTAAGAAGGGGTCTAGAAGGGTTCCTATAAGGGATCTATGGGTTCCTTTAAAAGGGGGTCTATAAGGGTTCCTATAAGGGATCTATGGGGTTGAGGGTTTAGGGTTGAGCTTTTGGGGTTTAGGGTTTTAGGGTTCTAGGGTTTAGGACTTCAGGTTGAGGGTTTAGGGTTCAAGGTTAGGGTAAGGGTTTTAGGTTAAGGTTCAGAGGTTGTAGTTCAGGGATAGGACTTGGGCTCCAAGCGGGGTTAGGGTTTGGGGTTACGGGTTCCAGAGGGGTTCTATAAGGGCTGAAAGGGTTCTATGAGGTTTCTGCGATATGAGGGATTTGCAAGGGTCTGAGGTTTTGGGATTTGGGAGGTTTTCAATGTGGTTCGCTTGGTTGGTTGCGAAAGGGTTTAAGGTTTTATGGGCTTGCAGTAACTCATATGATGAATGTCTAGCAGGGAATTCTGAGAGGTAGGTGTTAGAGGTTCTGGGTAGGTTTTTGGGTGGCATGTTGTTGGGGCAGCAGCGAAGCGGAGTGCGGATCCAGGCAAATGTAAGGGTCTGAACCATTCAACATTCGTAAGGGTCTGCCCTTTGTAGTTATACTTTAGTATACTCTGAGACCCGTTCCCGTTCATGAGGGACCCGCAGTTACAGGCCATGTATATCGATGTGTTATGTTGTTACTATAACACTCTTCTAGTTTGGTTGTTACGACCGTCGTATTATTTGGGGCTTAGTGCTTCCGGGGTTTAGGGCTTTTGTATTTGGGTGTCGGATTTTGGATTTCGGTTTCGGGCTTTAGGGCGTTAGGGCTTTAGGAGTTGAGGTTCAGGGTCTCACGGTTTGGGGTTTCAGGACGTTCAGAGTTTTGGGAGCATCTGACCCGCCGAAACATGGGGTTGTGGCTTGCCCGGAAGCAGCAGTGGTTCGAAGATGGCCCTGAACTCCTAAACCCTCAACCCTACGCCCTAGGATGCCCAGTAGTACCCTTATTCCCTTTTTGTAGTCCTAGGCTCCTTATAATGTTACCCAATACCAAAAAGGGAGCCCTTTTTATTCCTAGGTTAATTTAATGAGTAGGCATCCTAGCACTGTAAACTTTAAACCCTACGCAGCGTCTTCGAGTTGGTGTTTTCCCCAAAGGATTGAAGATCATAACTTTCATGCCGCGATGATGTTCGACCGTAGTTATGTTGGTCTCTGTATCCTCATCTCGACACTTCACACGTAATCATATGTATTTAAAAGTACACATATGCAGAGATAGGCAGGGAGAGACAGAAAAAGAGAGAGAGAGAGAGAGAGAGAGGCAGCGAGGGAGAGAGGCAGAGCCCGATCTTGGGCGTAGGGCTTTGGTGTTCAGGGTGTTTTGGAAAAAAGGCTTTTGGGCCTTAAGGTTTGGGCTCCTTTTCAAGAAGCTAAAGCGCAAACTGCACGTTGAAGGGGTGGAACAGCTTTTTGCATGAGCTTGGGCTTCACGACTTGATATCTTCCATTCTAGCCTAGCACTGTTTGCCTTGGAAGGAACTGCTTGTTTACGGTCACTTTGTCAAACGGCATGGAGGCCACGAGGGTTCATGGTTTCAGTTAATGAAGGCTAGGCAGGGCTTTGAGACGCTTTATATTTGCTCTTATTGGGCTTAAGAGGATCTTACCTACTAATATCTTTCGAAGGCTTCAAAAGCACCTCCAGAAGTCTCTGAGGTGAGCTGAAGTTGAAAAGATCGGCGCTGTCGTGTGGGTGGTTGTCAAAATTAGGGTCCCTTTTTGGGTCCCTATTATAATACGGCACCTATTGTTTAGGGTACCCCAAAAGGGGGGCCACAATTGTGACAACGACCCATGTGTTCATGGCAGTCTTCACAATGTGGTGTTGGCCAGCGCTTGCCGGGCGCGACACATAGCTGACTCACACTACAGCATATTCTACCACCCCAAAGCCATAATAAACCCCAAGCATTCAGTGACCACGATGTGCATGTTCTTCCAATTCGTGGCGCTAGTGCGCAAACCTCAGCGACCTAAAGAAACAAAGCACTAAATCGCCAACGCTTGTGCACATGCAATTTGCCGCTCTAATGGCCCCGATTGGAAGCAAGCGGACGGACTGGTTGCAGACCTTGCTCACACCAGCATCGCCCCAGAGTTTACATGCGCAGTTGGTTTGTTTACGGGATCGAGATGCGCCCCACGCTTGAGTTCGACATTCATTGGCGCTTCGGTTGTTGCGCATCCTACGGGAGCTTCGTGATGTTACAGAGCATTCCCCGCTTGGAGCGACCATCGCAACCAACATTGGACCGTAGCCCCGACTGTCAACCCTAATTGCTTGAAGGAATTTCGTGCCTATTCAAAAGAATGTACGTAATGCAGTTTTAGTGGTGGAAAAGCGGCGTTCATGTACTAGGTCCTGCGATCCGTTCAGCGATCCCTAATCGGTATAAGCCCCAGCCGGGCAAGCAAGAACTTGACTTACTTCTCTGCAGGGTTTTACATCACACAAAGACGTTTTTTGCACACAAAACGGAAACAACATGTAAGTTAGGAGGCTTGCCCACCTTACACCTTGCACCCCGAACAAAACAGGTAAGGCACCTTGGAAGCGGATCTTTGGCGACTGAGGTGATGATGGTGGACGAAGCGCACGAGGGGACCTCAGAGAGGGCATTGGCATTTAGAGGTCTTTATGGCCGAGGGTTGCAAGTGCCTACATATGCCTACATACTCAGCCCCAAAAGTCCGAAATGCAGCTGTGGCAAGATCAGATTGCGAACCGTCTCATGTGGATCTCCGTCCGCAAGCCTTCCTGAGAAAGCATGGAATGGAATCCTAGGCAGTATTCGGAGACCTCTTGAAGGGGACCCTTCTTAGCCCTACTTCCGGCTCTCTTTAACGGGACCTTCTTGAGAGGGTCTATATCCCCAAGGATCACCCAGTTCATAAACCTTACGGAAGAAAGCATCGTCAAAGATCCTCAGCTCACATTGGAAGCGTACACCCCTTGAGCCTCCAAGTCCTCCAGCATGTGATGTCCCAACTCTAAAGGTTTAGGGTTTAGCGTTGCATGGGACCGTGGCGCCGTATAGGCCCGTGCGAGAATTTTGCGAAGGCTGTTCTATCGCCGACACCGGGGTTGCCGAGACATGTACAATCCGCTTACCCCGCCTTGCATTGCCTCTCCCGACCATTGGTTTAAGGTTATCATGAAGTCGTCTTACGATCGATCAGCAGTAGTGACTGTAGTGCCTGAAATTTCAATTGTCCAAGTACCTGGGCTGCGAGTCCGTAAATTCTGAATCCCTAAACCCCCCCAAGCCAAATGGGGCCTAATTATGCTGCCAACAGGAGTTTTGTTTCCTCTGGCATGTGGCTACTTGGACCCTCGCGGTTGGCAAAATCTCACCGACCGTGTAGGTAGCCGAGCGCCTGATACCTCGAGTCCTCTGAGCGAAACCCTCAACTCGTATAGCTTTCTATCTTCAAGCCTCTCTCTAGCTTCGCATCCGATTTTTGGGTTTCTGAGTTGAACGTCTGCGTTTCGGCTTGCGTTTGATGGCTCACGTGCGACAGCTAGCATCCCGAACCCGTTGTAGTCCAAGACAGTGTGAAGCTCACGCACTTGAGAGTGCTTCGTGACGATGGTGGTCAGGATCAGCTTTGGCCTCGTCTTGTTGTTTGGGGTGAAGGCTCTGGTGCAGCCACCGGCAAATTCGGCAAAATCCGAACAGGTGCAGGTATTGGGATGCTTCGGTGGCTCAAGACCCAACTCGACGCGGTGTCAGGACGGCAAGCTTCTCGGTTCTTGCTGAGAAACGTCAACATCGGTTACCCTTTTGCGGGTCCGCAGCTGGATATGTAGTAGACAAACATGCTTTTCGAAATTAGTCTTACATCTTTTTGGGTTGCTTTACTAAGCACTGAGGTGCTTCTACAGATGCATCCACCCCGACTCCAACAGCACAGAGCTGGTTTGCAAGGAGACAGAGACTCTGCACATGGTAGGTGTCAGTGCCGGAGGCATAAGCTGGGCGTGCCAAGACCTCATTTCGTGTCCAGCAACTTGGTAGTCCAATTCGCATGATTGATAGTGGTTAGCTTTAGCTTTCCAATTTAGGAGAGCAGCGTTGCTTGGTTCTCGTTTCATGTTGACCAAATCGGCAGATGAATTTGCATTGTTGGTGGGTCACAATCCCATCTGTCCAAACTAGCTAGGAGAGTAGCCTTGGTTCTGTGTAGGAAAATCGTCAACCCAGGTGACGCCAACCCTTGTCGGATGCAACTGCACCGTTCAAAAGACCTGCACCTGGAGTTGTGACTACTGGGGAGGCTCGAAATTACACTGCGATGCAAGCAGCCTCAAATACCTTAGGCCTGGACGAATTCTGCAATGTGCTGAAGGAAAAGATCCCGAGAAGCTGGGAGGGAAAATGGCAAACTGGGTCTGCTAGTTCCAGCCGGCCACGCATGGATGCCTTCAGATGTACAGTCTGTCTGTGCGTGTTTGCGCCAATCAGAGCGCATTTCAGTTTTGCAGGACCTTACAGAGCCTGAACCTAAATTCGAATCCCTCAGGATCATGACGTGCTGATGCACACTCTGAAGGACAGAACTTCTTTTGGATTGCTGCCGCACCGTCGCACAATCGAGCCTGATCTGCTTCAACTGGCTGCTTGTACAGAGCTTCTTTTGTTTTGCTGGCAGACCTGTTGATGGCATGCGAGAGAAAGTCTGAAGCCTCCCTGTGGAGATGCTTGGGCCGTTCTGCTGCCAGCCATAGGTTTATGACTTTGTTCATGAAAACCTCTGCAGCAAGGACGAGGATTCTCTTTGCTTGTTTTTTTGAACAAGTTTCTGCAGAATCTGGTTCTGGCTAAGAACACGGGGTTCCAAAAACCAAAACCTCCAACCCTCCATGGATAATATCCATGAATAAGGGAGCCCCTGTGAAGGAGCAGTGATACTGCGAGGATGTTTTCTGGAATGATTGTTGTTTCTCTGAGCAACGATGCCCATTGCAAAGCCGTGCATTTCCCTGTGCACTTGTCTAAAACAGCCTTAAGTCAAGACAGCTCGCATGTTCTCAAGCCCAAAGGGTCCAAAGTACCTATATGGTAGCATGTAGGGTTTCTATAATAGGAATTACTATTCTGATTTGGGGAAGTATCCCCCATAAAAGTAACTAGGACCCTTTGGGTTAAGTACTATGAAGAACCGGGTTCCCTGCCTCACCCGCAGCCTGCTTTGGGACCCTTTGGGAAGGAAAGGACTCTCCACACCGACGTGCTCTTTGGCCTGGTCAAGGATGTCCGTTCCCCAGGGAGAGCAGATTTTGGGAGCCCAGGAACTCCTAATCAAGGGTATAAATTGGGTACGGCCCCCACTCAGTAACAGTTGGATAAGACTCATAAGAAAGATATATAAGGCCCTTAATAGTAGCCCTACTATAGACTGTTACTGTATGGGGCCGTACCCAGGGTATAAAACATGAAGACTTTCCTAGTATGGTTTACCCATATAGGCTCCATAGTAGTTCCTTTTTGGGATTACTTTATAGGATTCTAAATATGAACTATAAAAAGGGACTACTATGGAGAAGCCCGACATCCCTCAACATACGCTTTAGACCTTCAAACGCTGAACCATAAAAACCCTAACCCGCAAACCCTTGATCCCGAAACCATACCAAAACCCAGGTTATCTAACTCCTGACACTCTGCAGCCCTGTTCGTCCAAGTAGCAAACAATCATATACTCGCCTAGATACAAGCATACGTAGCTACTATCCCGAACCCAAATACCTTCAGAAAAGCTCCAAAAGGGACACTACATAACCGGGGTCATTATGTAGATTTTGTGCCCTGCAGCCTAGAGCCCCTGAACCCTAACTCTACCTATAGTCTCCAACTACTTTTTTGGTTAACCAAAATTCCTAGATCTATTATAGGATCCTAACCATAAAACCGGGTAACCAAGAAAAGGAACTACAATGGAGACTATAGGTAGACCCTCACCTTCAGGTGGCCCGCTTCCGTCAAGATCTGAAGTTGATCATCTCCTCAGCCCGATCCTCGCTCGGCGGTACAGTGGGTTTAGGGGTTTAGGGTTTTGGGTTTAGGGTGTTGGGGCTGCGCTTCACGGGGAGGTGAATTTTTCGGGTTCAGGGTTCATAGGTGCAGGGTTGGGGGTTGAATCAGGGTGTAGCGTTTAAGATCTCACCTGGCGTTTAGGTTTAGGGTTGGGTCCCAAAGCCCTTTTGCTAAACAGGGGGCTGCGACTAGAGAACCGCCCTGCATCTCCACGAACGCAGGAGCAACGGAGACAACTTTATCCGCAGCCCTTTACGAACCTTAGCTCATTTTGGGAATCTGGATTTGGGTTTATGAAAACTTGTCCAGCCCCCCCCACACCCTCAACCCGAAATCCCTCAACCCTAGAACTAAGCTTCTTACAGCCCCAACCCTCCATATCCCCAAGCCAAAACCAAGCCCAAAGCTCGCTCCGAGAGTCCTCTGCAAGGAGGGTTCAAGTACCTTACATGGCATGCAGGAGGGCTTTAAACGACGTCGTACATGGTGGGTCTATACTGGGGATTAAGTATATACTATGTTGTTGAGGAATAATCCTAAACCCTATAAGCCCTAGACCCTAACCTTAACTCCCAGTGCCTGTCAATCCTACAACGCAAACCCAAACCCTCGACCTTACCCATAGGCTCCATAGTAGTTCCTTTTTGGGGTTACCTTATAGGATTCTAAATATGAACCCAAAAAGGAACTACTATGCAGCCTTTGGGTAAGCGCTGCTGACTCGAAAGGCCACGCTGGATGCCGAGAAGTTCTCCGAGTACTTCGACAATGCGAGCTGGGGGAGAGGGGCTTTGGGTCTTACTGTAGGGTTTTGGGTTTTGGTTTGAGGTTAAGGGTTTTAGAGTTTAGGGGTTGAGGTTTAGGGTTCAGGGTTTGCGATATTCGGGTTCTCACAGCTTTAGATTTAACGTTTTGCGTTTAGGGCTTTCGGCGGGTTCAGTCAGGGTGTTCGGGATCGCTACGATAGCGCCAGCACGGGCAGTCATGGTAGCATGAGAACGCTAAACAGAGCACAAGCAGTCGCTGTGCAGGTCCTGCAGCCCCAGGCCCTACAACATAGCAGGTTATCATGCAATATTCAGCAGAGTAAACTGTAGCGGTATGGCCCTTTCAAAACTAAACTCTATACGATAATTGCCATAAATACGATAAGAATTAACCATCAAGGCTCTCCATCATGCAGTAAACGGCGCGGAGGAGGGAGATATCCTTATTCGGGAGACAAGACTGGGGCTACGGACAGCCAGAGCGCAGACGGCACTTTTACTCTCTTCAAAGTTATTCGAGAGGCCCTCGATCTCGGAGGCTTCTTCCCCGAGGTAGATCGCGGGCTAGCGTCTCGGAGCGAGCGCGATGTCGTAGTCTCTCGTCCATTTCGATCGCACGAAAGTGTGTCATAACGGGAGCGGGTTACGATCATGCTCGCGAACCTTCGATTCTCTTCTGTCCGGTGTGTCGAAGACCTCTAGCAGCGACGAGTTACAAAACGGGAGTTGTTCGACTTAGTTCGAGGAGCCCTTCAGGGCCCTCATAATCATGCGGGTTTAACAGGTTAGGGGTCCAGAGTTTAGGGTTTACTGCAGGGGTTTAGGGTTGGGGGGTTTAGGGTTTAGGGCTTCCCTCAACGGCATCTAGGGTCTGAGCTCTGCATACCGGGTCTGAATAACTATGCACCTGCAGCAATCCCAAGGCCATTAACCCTAAAGAAGCCCCTGACAGAATCTGACATAATGTGGAGGTCGGAATATTTACCAATATTGGTCTCTTATAGTCCCTGTCTAGCCGTGAAAGCCTACAGGGTTTATTAATACTACCATTCCAGAAGTAGCTCCCCAGAACCATACTATGACCTAGTTCCGCAATTGTAGTATATATGGACCCTCTGGTTTGTCGATTTCTCCGATGCTTGCCTGGGTAGGGTGTCACCGGAATCTCACGGTTAGGATTAGTGTCTCTAGTCATCTTGTCTGGTAGCCGTCGTAGCTTGCACTAAGGCGCCATGTAAGGGCCATGTACCCATCTAGTATATTACAGGGGTCCCGACATCGGCACTTGTATATACCGTATACAGTAAACCCCATAAAGTTGGAAACCAGACTAAGGCCAAATAGTGCTAGGATCCCCTATACGTCACTCGTAAGGATTGAGGCTATTGGGTTTCCAACTTTTGGGCTTCTACTGTAGGAACCCTAAACCCTAAACCCTTTATAGAACCCTTATGGATCCCTTTAAGGAACCCTCAAAGGATCCCTTTAAAGGAACCCTAAACCCCGCCCCTGCAGGGCACGAGCTTCGTCTCCAGGAGCCTCTTTGGGTGTTGGCGACCCTAAGGCCCTAAACTGTACAGAGATGTTGATTACTTAGAGGATCATGGGACTTAGTAAGGGTTCCTTAAAGGGCTCCTTAAAGGGATCTATAGGGTTCCTTAAAGGGATCTATGGGGTTTAGGGTTTAGGGTCTACTTAGAGGATCATGGGACTTAGTAAGTAGGTTATAATTGGGGTTATAAGCCCCCTAAGTGGGGTTATCCTAATTATAACCTACTTATAACTTTACTTACTAAGTCCCATGAGCCTTCAAGTAGTTCACCCTGGTAAGTGGGGACACCAAGAGGACATAGGCCTTGTTGGGCATGTTACAGGGGTATCCCTACCTTCGTCATGGGGGGGGGGTTTATATGGGATATATCGCTGTCCAGATTTTGCCCTAAACCCTCAACCCCTGCAGTAAACCCTAAACTCTAAACCCCCCAGACTTCGTAAACCCTCACGATTACAAGGTCACTGTTTTTGCCTGTTAAGCCCTTAACCCTGAAGCCCTAGACTCTAGACCCTAACCTAAACCCTGAACCCTAAAACCGCCTTGTTTTTGCTTGTGTGCTGTTTTGGGGGGCCCTGGCGGTAAGACCGTGCCAGGCGCCTATCTTCAACGTCCCCGGCCGGCGCTATCCCGTTGGAGCCTTTGGCTTCGGGGTTTTAGGGCTTAAGGGGTTTTGGGGTTGAGGGTTTGGGGGTTTAGTGGTTGGGGGGTTGTGGGTTCAGGTTTTATAGTTCAGGGTTTTGGGATTTGGGGGTTTTGGGGTTCATGGTTTTAGGGGTTGAGGGTTTAGGGGTTGGGGGTTGAGGTTTCACGGTTTCGTTTTTTTTGGGGGTTTAGGGTTTTGAGGTTTTGGCAATGGGGTTTAGGGTTTTGGGGTTTGAGGTGGAGAGTTGCGGGTTCCTCTCGATTCTTCTGGGATCCTGACTGTCTGACTACTGCTACATTCTAGAAGCCAGTGGCAGTCCTTGTTCCTTGACGCTAGCCATGGAAGGAAGAAGTGCCGTCTGCAGTGGCAGTCTCTCCCCCCTGTCCGCTCAAAGGTTGCCGAGCACCTGAAACAGCTGCGGGGGCCGGATTGCCGAACCCGAATACATTGAATAGAGATCGAGCATTGCTTTGAGTCTAGACTTTGCATGCTGATGTCTGGGGTTCCAGACTTGAGATACTCTAGTCTAGGGTCGAGTCCGGGGGTTGTTGGCCGAAGTTTTGCCAACCAGGTGAGTATCCACTACACGAAGGCACCGGAAGCCAACTATCTGGATGCGTGTGCCGCCGACTCAGTCTGAAAGCCGGGTGCAGGGCTTGGGGATGGCAAGCAGACCCTAAACCCTAAATCCTAAAACACCGTAAGACCCTAGGCCCTAAACCCTACGGTTGATGATGATATATATATATATATATATATCCTGCACTACCTTAATGACCCTAACCTATGGGAATTATTGTATATGCCTTATCATGGGTGATGCAGGGTTTATATCATCAACCGTAGGAGCCTTTTAACCGTGAGCCAAGAAGGAAAGGGAACCTTCAGATCGCCAACCGTACAAGCGTAACTCGCGACGCCCGAACGTAAACCCCCCTCCCGATCCCCGGGATGAGGGTTTAGGCTTTGCCTGACAGGGCCATCACGTCGTCGTCAGTTTTGTCTTCGGTGGCGTCTTCGTGCTAGTTTCGACCGTCGGAGTTTCAGTTTTTGTTTGGGCCCTGTCTCGTGCACATGACTCAGGGTTTAAGCTTTGAGGTCTCGGGTTTTGGTTCTGGGGTTCAGGTGTAGAAGGTAGGAACCCCCAAAAGCAGATAAGCATAAGCATTTTATGGGGATATCCCTACCTTACTGGGCTTCATTATAAGGGGGTTTATATGGGAGATCCGTATCCTTATTTTTGCTTATGTGCTTCTTTGGGGCCCTACAAGGTTAAGGTTGAAGGTTCCGGCGACCGCGAAGACTGTGGAGTTCGGTTCATGATCTGGGATTTGGGAACTCTTCGCAGGAGCACTTTTGGATTCTTTGGGCTTCAGGGCTTAAACCGTTGAGGCTTTTTTTATGGTAGTCTTCCATGTTCAAAGATACCCCTGAGGTTGTTGGGAGCGTGTGTGGTCTCTAGGATTCCCTGCACTCTAAACCTCCAACCCTCCAAGGCAAATTGGAAAGAAAGCTAGGATACCTACAACAACAACTCTACAACCAAAGTATACCCCGACACCTAAGATGAATCCTAAACCCTCCATCGGATAACCCTGAACCCGAAACCCTTCACATGAACACAGGTCATCACGGTGCTCCAGATTCACTTGACGCAGGGGCCTGGGCCTCAGCAAGAAATCATGTTCTTGCTACACAGTAGGATACGGTTGATGATACAAATCCTGCATTACCCATAATAAGGAATATATGGGAATTATGGTATATTCCTTATTATGGGTCATGCAGGATTTATTTCATCAACAGTAGGATTTCGGATTTGGGTTCAGGGAAGGTGCTTCAAAGGCCATGTCTTCTTATCTAGTTACTTGTGGATATAGGGCTGCGAAGTTTACCAGGATGCCCAGTAGTACCCTTATTCCCTTTTTCGTAGTCCTAGGTTCCTTGCAAAGTTACCCAATACCAAAAAGGGGAGGCCTTTTTATTCCTAGGTTACTGGGCATCCTAGTTTAGCATCATGCTAGTGACGCTAGTTTACGTTGTTCCCCAACCGCTTAAATAAATTTCGAGACCCTGCGCCACGCAATTCGCCAGCAAAAAAGGAAGGTTCTTGTTAGAGCTTACTTTTCCCGACCATGTCCCTGAAGAATTTTCGAAGAACCCCATGGCTGGCAAGCCATAACTGGGCCATAACCCTAAACCCTAAACCCCTAAACCCTAAGCCATAACTGGGCCATAACTGCCCGCCGGATCAATGAAGTAGGCGGCATCAAGAGAAAAGAAACCCCCTGGGTCCGAAGTCTACACTAGGGGTTTAGGGTTGTGGTTTAGGGTTTAGGGTTTTAAGGTTTAGGGTTTAGGGTTTTAGGGTTTAGGGTTTAGGGTTTTAGGGTTTAGTATTTAGGGTTTTTTGCGGCCGAACAAGAAGAGCCTTAGCAAGAGCTATGGCTTTCTTGATCAGGTCTCTACATTAGCAGAGCTTGAAGGCGGACACGTGTAGGGAAACCTGCGGAGTGTTTGTCAACGCCAGACCGTAGACCCCGAAGCCCTACACAAGGAACCGTGAGCGAACCGTGAGCTTGGTAAGCAGGGCAATTATTAGGGTAATCTAGAAGCCTAGAACCGTATTCTGAGCATGAAAGCCCCTACACTAGGCCCTTGCAGTCACCCTTATAGAACCTTCAACGAGCTTTGTTCTGATGCTAGACTTCAAACTGCCTCATTTCAGGCCTGGTGATGTGCTCGTCTTCTTCACAGGACAGCAAGAGATCGAGGAGGCCCTTTAGGGCTCATAGAGCTTAGGATTTAGGGTTCAGCGTTTCTGAGTTTTGGATTTCAATTTAGGATAAATATAGGGGTTTAAGGTTAATGGTGTAGCGCAAGAAGGTTTAGGGGTTATGTTTGGGTTTAGGGTGTAAAGTTGCATGTTTTTGCGTGACATGTAAGCTTTGGTTTCTGTGCGTGGGGAGGACTTTACAGGTTGGGCTGGTGGTTCAGGGATTAAGTACCGCTGTAAGGGTGGCTTTGCAGAGTTTTAAGACAATTTGACAATTTGTAGATCTTCGTTGATAGTGTGTTCACAGGGCAACACTTCCGGTTTGGAGTTCAGGAGGTTTGCAGGTTTTGGGAGACAAGGGTAAGGTTCGTGCTAAGGGCTGGGTCAGCACTGTCGATGATCTCTGCCAGTTTCTCATCATGGAAATCCCGCAGCCCCAGGCCACAAAATCATAAATCCTGTAAGCCCTAAATTCAATCCTGAGCCCTAAGTCGTCCTCACATGTATTGCAGCCCCCGGCTTCTCTTAGCAGGCAATGGACCTGCTTAGCTTCAAGACACGAGGCGCGGAGGGACCGCCATGGAAGGCTCCAGGGTTTAAGGATTTTGGGGTCTGGGATTTAGGGTTCTCGGGTCCAGGGTTCGGGGTCTTGGATTGTACGGATTTTGAGCTGAGTGTTCTGGCTTACGGCACTTCACCTGAGGTGCGTGCTCAGCAAAAACCGGAGTAAACGCCTAGATAGTTCAGCGGGGTTGACAAGAAAAACAGCCTGAACCCACAAGATACTACAGAGGAAACACGGTCGCGTAGAGGTCTGCTGATGCAGTCTCTCTCTTCCTAGGCCCTCATGATATCCGAGAGAGAGAGAGAGAGAGAGAGCTAGAGCTTATGAACCATGACACACCATGACACACCCCTTCAACCAAAACTCTATTCAAAACAGACCCTTCCGGATCAGACTACTGCACAAGCTATCCCGGAAGCCAGAACGTGTTTCAACGGAGAGCTTTAGAGGTTCCAAGGTTAAGTTGTTGGGTCTTCTTGGGGCTCCTGGGACCCACGCTATCTCATGATGGGGTCATGGTGCCTAAACTCTCAACCCAAACCCTAAACCCTAAATCCTAAACCCTAAATGTCTAAACTCTAAACCCTAAATTCTAAACCCTAAATCCTAAACCCTAAATTCCAAGTAGTGTTGAACCAACCATGGCAGTCGAACGCCTCGAAGTTCCCAGGACGCCCCAAGCGAACATCCCGAAGCCTTTAAACCCTATAAACACTAATTAGGGGTTAAGTAGGGCTCTTAGAACTTAGGTTTCTTATCCTCTAAACCCTATAAACACTAGTTAGGGCAGTTAGGGGTTAATGAGGGCTCTTATAATTTAGGATTCTTATGGCTTCAAGGGTTTTGTCTGAAGTCCGAACCCTACAACCTAAATCCGCGATCCCTAAACAGGGATGGGAACTGCGATGGGGGAGCTCTTGGTCCTTCCGATCTACGCCAACCTGCCCACGGATATGCAGGCACGAGATGATTCGGGATTACAGTAGTAGCCGGAAAGTTGGAACATCATTATCCTCTTGGCCTTAAGGTAAAGCATAGGGAGTCCTAGCAATAATCATCCTAAATCCATGTTCCAACTCTGTGATGTTCGCTGTAGGGTGCAGGATTATAGGGTTCCGGGATTAGGGGTTTAGGGTTTAGCAGGTTTGTGGTTTAGGGGTTTTTGGGTTTCTTGAAGTGTTCGAGGTGGGGCTCTAACTTTAGGTGTCAGGCCTGAAACTTTGAGGCCTTAGGCTGTGGGGTTAAGGGTTCCAGGGTTGGTGTTGAAGGTTTGAAGCTACCTAGAGGCTCCGTAGTAGTCCCTTCTGATGGTTCATATTTAGATTCCTATAAGGTAATCCCAAAAAGGAACTACTATGGAGCATGGGTAGCGGCTGTAAACATCTGGGGGTTCCTTGTTATAACTATAGCACAGCGGGCCCAACAACCCTATCCCAATCATTAAGGGCCCTGTATTAATCGGGGGTCCACTGCGCTTGACAAAGATTGCATCAAGCATCGTACCGTGCCTCGATATCGAAGATTCGACTGTATAAGGATGTATAATTAAGGCCAGCTCCTGATCCTAAACCCTACCTTAGCCTCAAATAACCTACACGTCTGAGGACCTGCATAAGAGGCAGCTATGATAAGAAGCCCTAGAAATGCAGGCTTCTGCCTTAAACCCTAAACCCAGGAAGCCCAGAGCCTCGAATCCTCAACCCGAACCTCTCAGTCCACCCACCCACACTGCTGATGGACTAAATGCCCATCACGAGGAACTAATTTCCCCGCTTCAAACTCTACACGAAAAGCTGCCCCCAACTCCCACCACCCTGGACCCTCCACCCAAAACCCTAAACTCCTAACCCCCGAGACCTTAAAGCTCCAAAGCCCTGAAAAGCCTGCGAAGTCAGGCAAAGATCTTCGAAAAGACGCCAGATGGCGCGTTGGCTCCTCGGGGTGTGGGATCTGTATCAGGCTAGAGCCGGCTGCTTCAGGCTTAGGGTTCAGGGGTTGAGGGTTTACGGGTTCCTGATACAAAATTCTATAAGCCCTCGAGCATCGTAGCTATGCGGAGGGTCTGTTTCAAGCCCCCTGTGCCCACGTACACCGTAGAGTTAAGGTTTGTTGTGCCTCGGTCTGCATAACGAGACTGACTACCTGCTTGTAAGACTGGGTTCTTGTTAAGGAAATTTAAATCAAGTTACCAAAAAGAACACCGCATTATCTACTACACCCCCCTATGATGACTTAAACCTTAAACCTCCAACACCCTTAAAGGAACCCTTATAAAGGTTGCTCAGATTAAATTCCCCAGCAAGAACCCAGAAGAGCCGGGTTTGGGGTTCGAGATGCAGTCTTCAGGGTTTTGAGTTTGGCAAGGAAGGCATAAGACGGTTGATGATATTTACGGAGATTCATAGGGGTACCTTTAAAGGGTTCGTTCAAGGGATCTATAGGGTTTGAGGGTTTAGGGTATAGGTTGATGATATACATTACCTTAATGGCCCTAAACTATGGGAGGTATGATATATTCCTTATGGTTATGGGTAGTGCAGGATTTATATCACCATCCGTACGGGCTTTCTGCAAGCTGCTGTTTCAACGGCAACATCAAAAGGACAGACCGCCTTTTAACAGTACAGGACAATGTTTCCTGGCTAGCTTTGTAGGGTGGAAGGCGATTCGTGTGCAGATGAGGGTTTGGTGTTTAGGGTTTAGGGTTTAGGCTGCGAATCGCAAAGCCCGAACCTCTATGCGCAAATCTGCGAGGGCCTGAAATAACACAAAAAGCTCAAGTCCAAACCCTAATCTCTCAAAGCCTCCCTGGCCACAGCTTATTCGTTCCTAAACCCTGAGCCCCAAGCTTAAAGCCTACAGCCTCACTGAGAGACTAACAGTCCTCCTCACATGTAGACAGGGATGGGGATCGTAGACTCCTTCAAAGCAACCCTATATTCTAATTGCTAAGGCCTCTTCATAGCTTGACTAAGGAAGTTCTTCTCATTTGTTAGGAAAACCACTGGCCCGGCTTGAACTTTCAGGAGAAAAGTCGTCCTGGCTACGAACATCGTCAGAACCTCAGACGGTTTGGGATTAGTGACTACACAGGGTCTTCTGGGGCTTTGGGAAAGGATTCAGGGTATGTGTAGGGTTCAAGGTGTAGGGTGCAGGGTTTATGGCGTATAGGGTCGAGAGTTCAGCGTTCTAGGCTCATAACGGTTTGGCCTTCACTGGCTAGGGCTCACTTGTGAGATTAGGAGGCTTCTTTAAATACTAACCTACGTTAGTACTAGTCTGAATTTAGTTTCTTATACCTTGGGCGGCAGGCTTCGTTATAAGATGTTTCGAATTAGTAAAGGAATACGATTAAGCATGTCTCTATGGGTTCAGCTTGTTTGCTCTGTGAAGGGGAGTTGTCGGACTCACTGGGAACCACGGGTAAGGGTTACATCGTGCACCCTGAAAGCCTTTGTCAGGTGGACCCAGTGCTTCGATACTACGTGACGGGCCTTCAACTATATTTTGGAAGTCTTTTATTCAAAACCCTAATGTGAGATGTATACGAACCCTACAGAAAACGTTTAATTGGTAGCTCAAGGTAGGGTTCAAAACCATTGCAGGGAGTTGCATCGTGGAAGCGAATATTGCGCAAACAGGGGTCGTGGTATATAATTAGTAAGCGACCAGCTTCAGCAATGAATTGGGACCTCAAAGTGATGATGCGTTGTGAGGCTTAACATAGGGTAGATTGCGTTGTTTCTCCAGCTTGCTTGAATCGGCTATTATCAAAGCAGGCACCTGGAATTTCAGACTGCTGTGGAACAACCCCCAGAACCCGTTATAGAACCTTATAGGAACCTGTAGCTTCTAGGAGCTCTTGGCGCGTGGCGGTGCAACACCCCCGAGGAACATGCAGTGACACGAGGGACGCCAAACACTCAACGGTGAACCCGAGACTGCGGAGGCTTGAATCCCATAAGCCCAATGTAAGCATCACGTCAGGCCGAAACCTCCATCACCATTGACAACATCGTCTTTGCTCGGCCCTCAAAGTCTATGCTGAACTGCCTCAGATGGCCTTTAAGAACTTCAAGACTTACTTGTTTTGGTGGTTTAAAGTTCGGGGGTTTATTGCAACCCCAGCACTATGCTTTGGGGGCAGTGGGTGTCTTTTCTGAGCGCTGCATGTCGCCATCAGTTCCTGTACGAAGAACTGCACAGGAACGGGATTCGGGGTCTAGGTTTCAGCAGGTTGACCCTAGCTTGGTTTTCGTGAAAATTCTATCAGGCCTCTAGAGGGGCTTATAGAGGGTTTAGGGTGTCAGAAGTCCGGGTGCCGATTTAATATTTAGACCTAGGGATGCACCCTCCATCCCTAGAGCCCCAGAACCTGAACCGTAGGTCCAAAGCTTTCTAGGCCCTACCTGGACCAGGTAAAACTTACCTTCGAATTATTTTCAGATTCAAAATGGAAATCATAGTAACAAACGCAAGAAAGGTAGGTTCTTGAGGGTTCCGGTAGGGCTTAGGATTGAGGATCAAGGCTGTAGGCCTTCCGTCCCGAAGCCGAAATTTCCGGGACCGTACTCTTTCCACCAAAGCCGTACCCTAAAGGCCCCAAAGAAGTTCCTTTTTGGGGTTCCCACAACAGGTGATCGACCCGGGCTTTTGCAAGCAGAACTCCTTCAACCCACGGACAGGCATGGAGCCAGCGGCTCAGACCTGGATAGGGGCCAGACTGATCAGAATAGGGTTTTGGTATATAGTATATTTTGTGAAGGACTATTTTTGCAATATTTTTCTAGTTCGGCATGAACAGTATGTACAAGTATCCGCTTTGTCGTGCTATAAGATGCCCCAACTCAAACTGTCGCACAAACTACTGAGACCCTTGCATTGGGTGGTTCACCACGACCAAACGCATTCCGTGTTACTTCCGGATAGCTACTGTTTAGGGTTACGGGCTGGATCTGGTATCCACGTTACAATAATTGCTAGCAGTATGTCTTGATAGCCCCTAAAAGAGACTATACCGTAAATGTACTACATGTACAAAAGGACGCTCTTCAAACTTTCAGGGCATGTTTATTTGGGGTCTTTCGGTGTTAGTCAGGGCTAAACTTAGACCCTAAACCCCCAAGGCCCCAACTTGGAGGTTCAGGGGTAGTTATAAGTTAATTATAAGTGGGGTTATAAGAGTTATAAGCATAGTTACCCTACTTATAACCCCACTGATAACTACCCACGAACCGACAAGAAGGACATCCAAGGTGCCAGGTCTCGGATTTGTAAGCCGGTGTTGGCTTGAGTGCCCTTGGGACTTCATGTACGGCTTATCCTTGAACTCATGGGTTCAGGATTTAGGGCCGTAAACTGCCAGAACCTGCTGGTTTGTAGGTTCTCATTATTAACCCCAGAAGGGAATTGATAGATACCCTACCGAAAAGATAACGACTTTTGCTAGCTCGCGGTAGGGCTTCAGGAGTTTAGGGGCTTCGGCCTGTTTTGCTTGCGGGGAAAGTGCTGGGTTTATGAAGGGTTGTGAAAGGCAGGGTTGATTGTTTGGGGCTTGAGGGAAAGAAGGTCCTGTTTAGCAAGCCGACAAAAAACCCTGGATTTGGGGTTCAGGGTATCTGAAGGTGCGCACTTCATCCGAAAACTGGCATCTCTGCTCTTGCGGGCCCCCCATGCCCCAAGTTGCGTTCAAATTTCTGCAGCGCTTGTCGCCTAAAATCCTTAAACCCTCAACCCTAAGTCTCAAATTGTAGTTCCCATCAAGCTAAAGGACCGGCACTTGGTGCTAAAGATTATATAGGCGATTCTGTGCCGGTCTTTGAAATAGGTTTAGGGTTTGTATGGATGAGCGGTTTAGTGAAGTTAGGGTTTAGGGTTTAGAGTATGGGTTTAGAGTGTTCCGACGTCACACCTCTCATAGCAGCCTCGTACAGGTCTTTTTCACCCTACAGGAGAGCACGACTCAGGAGGAACACTACAGGTTTCCTGTCGACTTCGAAACCCCATAAAACATTCTACACCAATAAACCCGAGACTCTATAAACCTAAACCAGAAACTCAAAGCCGTGGCAGAAGTGTCACACCAAGAACCACCTGTCAAGTTCGGAGCCCCGCCGGAATGTTGGCTCTAGCGCCTCCCAACGTTTTCCCCCCCGATCGGGCGCATCAGCGGCAAGACATCGCAGGTGCCGTCTTAAAGTTTAGGTCTCATAACGTTGTCTTATTGTCGCTGCTTCATAAAGTTAGGTCTCTTTATAGGGGTTCATAGAATGATTTTTCTGTTTTCTAGGATTGTTTTCAACTGCGGCGCGCGGGGTCTGGGAGGGCTTTTCGGGTGGGCCGTTGAGAGCTTGGTTCAGTCATAATCTTCAAGGGCCTCAAAAGGCGGGATGAAGGTAGGTGGGGTAATCCCAAATTAGAGTCCTTATTCAAGGGATCCTTAATCCCACAAAAAGGGCCCGAAATAGTTACCAATACTATTGTGGTGGTTCCTTGTTAGAATCATAGTATAATATAGGCCCCAAAACCCTATTCTAGCTATGAAGGCCGCTATATTGCCTACCTTCATCCCACCGTTTGAGGCCTCCAACGTTTATGTGAAAGCACGGGCTGGTTCGGTTTAGGGTTTGGGATTTAGGGGGTTTAGCGTTTAGGGCTATTTAGGGGTTAGGTTTTAGGATTTATAGGGCTTTAGGGGTTTAGGGTTTAGGGGGTTTAGGATTTGAGGGGTGTTAAAGTTTAGGGTTTAGGAGGTTTAGGGTTTAGAGTTTAGGGTTTTTGGGCTCTAGGGTTTAGGGTTCGTACAGGCCGCCTGCAGTGGGACCCAGGGGCTTCACCGCGGTTCTCCAGACACTTCAGGGAGCTCCGTGCGTTAGGGGTTTAGGGGTTTAGGGTTGAGGCTTTAGGGTTTAAACCCTAAAGCCTAAACCCAGGATCCGGCTTATGCTTCTACCAACTACTGGCTGTAAGAGAGCCCTTAAAGGAACCCTAAACCCTTAAAGGGGCTTGGGATCCCTGTAAAGGGGCTTAGGATCCCTTTAAAGGGGCTTAGGGTCCCTTGAAAGCGGCTTAGGGTCCCTTTATGGGCTATCTGGAGACGAAGCTGAATACAGCGTTATGGGATGTAGGTTTTCAGGTTTGAGGAGTTCAGATCGGTTCAGGTTGGTTTCGGGTTCAGGCAGGCGTGCTTAGAGGATTTAGTGGTTTGCCAATGCATTTTGGAGTCCTCATGGCCGCAGTGCGTTCGGCCAAAACTGGTTATCACATTGGTTTAAGAGCTTCCTGCATGGTCTGGTAGCGATGTCCGCCTGTGAGTTCTGGGGTTCGGGTTGCTTGGGTCTTGGGGTTTTGACACCTCCTTGCACGACTTCCTGTTCCCTGATTGAATCAATACGTTTCCACGAACAGCAGGCTTTTCTCTGCTTCGGAGGTCCTCGCTGGCGGAAAGCCATGGGAGCTACAGTGAACCCTGAACCCTTTTCTAAAGACTAGAGCCGAGTTCAAGCACGCGGGAACTGGCCAGCCGGAATGCCCAAATGCACATAGGGGTTCTTCTTGACTGCCGTAGCCACACCTAGTGGGCCAGGCCCAAGTTGCGAAATCTCCGAGAGTCAACACGATAGGGAGTCGACGCACGCTGTGGACCTCCAGGGGAAGCTGTACCACGCGGTGCTCCTAGACTTCTACACTCACTCACTTGTGCAGTCGCCGCCATTCACACGACTCAATAAGCTACACAGGCACAGCTGATGAAGTCAGCATTGTCCTTTTTCATGGTTCCCCCAAAAGAATAAACAGACCGGCTGGTAGACCTTCTTAAAACAAGTTCCTACTAGGGATATAGGTATAGGGCTCTGTCTATTATTTCTAAAAGGACAAGGGTGGATGAAGTGGCTCTCGTCGGCACGGATTTGTTTCTCAAGTCGGGCTAAGTCGGGAACAATTCAAACCCTTGAAGGGTGTGTAGCGCCGTAATAGTATATGACACCGCCCACATTCAGAAATTAATTACTGGACAGCGTTGCTGGCTTTACGCTCCAGATTTTGTTGTGGCTTGCAGACATGAACCAAGAAACCGGGTACTGTTTCTCTTGCTAAGGAACTAGTTTCGCTTTGGTCGTTAGCCCCTTCCGGAACACAACATCACAGGGTCCACCTCAGCTCGTGTTGACGAATTAGGATCGAATCGCCCTGTATTTGCACCCTGGAACTCAAGATCCGGACTCAATCTCGGGTTCGCTCCGAGAGCCTTTTGAAAGTTTAAAGGGTTTAGGTCGACGATCGTGGGATTCGAAGCGCATCGTTCAGGAATCCGCACACCATGTCACTGCCACGCATGCGATAAGATGCGAATGCCTCTAGCGGACACTTCTGAATTTTGCGTTTGAACATGTTGTTGCGAGCCGTCGTCATAGTATGCACCCCCGACCGAAATGCAGTCCCTGTGAGAAGGTACAAACCTTATCACGTATAAATGCTGAACCTGAGAGCCTGCATGAAACGTTCAAGATGGGTGGCATGAAAGATCCTCTGCGTAACGACTCTTCTTCGGGATTTCCCCGGCCCCACGCAGAAATCCCAAACCGGGAATACAGAGGTCTGAATATTTACCAAGTCACCATCAGTTTAATTTGACACAATGCTTGTACATATATTGCTGCATAGAAAACTGTACCATGACACACGCCAATACACGCCAAAGCCGCATCGAAAGTCACAGGACCTATGCATTGACTTCTTCAAAACACTGTAAAACCCGTAACCACCGGTCAATGCCCTCCATGTTCGACCCTGATGAAACAGTTCAAGAAACCTTTAAGAAACCTGTTATACCAGATCTGGGGCTGGTTGGCATGGAGTTGCAACTGCTTTTTCGATGGTCACTACCCATGCAAAGCGCTTTCTGGGACAGTGATGAATTTAGGGGTCTGAAACATTACCAGCACTGTCTTGGGGATTCCTTATTGTTATGAATATTGTATTTTTATAACATACCCCGAAATCCTGTTCTAATTATGAAGGCCTCTATATTAGGGGTTTTGGGTTTGGCTGTGGCATGTGGAGTTGCATCGAAACTGGTTTCATAGGTCCGGACGCATCTTGGAGAGCGTATAGGCACCCGACCAATATTTGGGCCTGTTGGCGGGGATGCTAACCCTAAACTCATACTCATAAACAGACACTTGATTATTAAACACGCTTGCTTTAGGACCCTCTTTATCCTAATTATAGTTCTTAGTCAGGAGTTCTGGGCTATATCCGGACCGGAAGAATCCGCGATTTTTGGGTTCCTGTTCATTATGTCCTTACATAGTTTCTTCGATAGGAAGGTTTCTTCGTGGTAAGGTACGTAGCCTAGGTTTCCGTGATGGAGAGGCTGTCGCACCGACTGTATACAGATATACATACAGGTACATGCAGAAACACACACATAATATATATATATATATATACATATACATATATACATATATACATATATACATATATTAAATACACATGTTTATATATATATATATATATATATATATATTACATATATATATACATACACATGTATATACATATATACGTACACACGTATACGTATATGTATATGTATATGTCTATGTCTATGTCTATGTCTATGTCTATGTCTATGTCTATGTATATGCATATGTATATGTATATGTATATGTATATGTATATGTATA